ACAGCAGTTCAAACCTTAGCTTCTACTGCATTATGTGGAATTATACACTCTATTATAGGAGGTCAGCCTTTGCTGATTCTTGGAGTTGCAGAGCCAACTGTAATCATGTACACATTCATGTTCAATTTTGCAAAAAGTCGTCCAGATTTGGGACCAAAGCTCTTTCTGGCATGGACCGGATGGTATTTCCTGATTTTTCCTTGTCATTATCTGAGAAACATCTGGTTGACTTCTGTTAAAATTTGAATCCTCCCTTATATTTGGTAAACTTACATGGCAATTTAATTGGGCAGGGTGTGCATATGGACTGCAATCTTGCTGTTCTTATTGGCTGTCCTAGGTGCTTGCTCTATCATCAATAGGTTCACTCGCATTGCAGGGGAATTGTTTGGCCTACTTATTGCGATGCTTTTTATGCAGGAAGCCATTAAAGTAAGAAAAAATCCTCGCTTCTTTCCCATTCCTACATCACATGGAAAAAGTGAATAACCTGCAAATTTTGCTGTAATGCTCCTGGAGTGGTTTTTGTTGTACACTAGAGTTATTGTATTACTGGGTTGAATACATTGAGTGAGTCCTTGAATAGTTGAGATGCTTTTCAGTGGTTCTTAGTTGTTCATAGAATGGCTTTTTGAACTAGGTCTTAAAATGCTTTGTGGTTAAACTTTGAGATTCTAAATTCTTCAATTTGGTTTGCTAGGGACTGGTTAATGAATTTCGTATACCAAAAAGAGAAAACCCCAAATCAATCGAGTATGAATTTTCATGGAGATTTGCCAATGGAATGTTTGCTTTGCTTTTGGCTTTTGGCCTTCTGCATACTGCATTAAGAAGCAGAAAAGCAAGGTCTTGGCGTTATGGGACCGGTAAGCCTTATTGGATCTAATGTCTTTTTAAACTTGCAGTTGATGCAAGATTGCATATCCATTTAAAAGAAAAAGTCGTTGTTTTAGTTGTCAAAATTACAACAGTACTCTTATTTTTTATGCTTATCCAATGAGCCTAAGCTCCTGGCTTCCTTACACATGTTGAGAGTACTTCTCATTCAATCTTGTGATCCTTGCCATAGCCAAAAATTTCTGTTGAAAACAATGATAATCACATTTATGATTCCTATCAAACTCACCAACTTTAAGTTGGCCCAAGTTAGTCAAGTGGTAGGGATGTGGCAGGGCATAATGTTATGGGCTTTGTGCTGCCAAAGGATCAATTAGAAGCTAATTTTCCTAGAATGCCTGAGATTGAAGGGCTAAGATGCTAAACCCAGCTGCAAATCACTTTTTCCCTTTCATGTCTTGAAGACTTGTTACTTCTCTAGGCTAAAGGTTCCATGTTCATTTTTCCGCAGGGTCACTCCGAGGCTTCATCGCTGATTATGGTGTTCCATTGATGGTTCTGGTTTGGACAGCTGTTTCTTACATACCAGCTGAAAGTGTTCCAAAAGGAATACCAAGGCGCCTCTTTAGTCCAAATCCATGGTCACCAGGTGCATATGAGAATTGGACTGTCATAAAGGTATGCCTAAGTGGAAGCTTGTGGCAAAACTATTCCTTACCTTCCTGTCTCTGACATAAGAAGCATTTACTAATGGTTTAATGCTAAAAACTTTCAGGACATGTTGGATGTGCCAGTTCTTTATATAATTGGAGCTTTTGTGCCAGCAACAATGATTGCAGTGCTCTATTATTTTGACCATAGTGTTGCATCTCAGCTTGCACAGCAGAAAGAATTCAATTTGAGAAAACCTCCTTCTTTCCATTATGATTTACTTCTTTTGGGGTTTATGGTACAAAAAATTCACTTTTTCACCACTCTTCTCCTTTCCATTATGGTACAAACTGTACTCCAGTAAATGTCTAATATTTATTTGCAACCACATGCAGGTCATAGTCTGTGGTCTCCTTGGTATCCCTCCGTCAAATGGTGTCATTCCACAATCTCCAATGCATACTAAAAGTTTGGCTACCCTGAAGCACCAGGTAGGCATGTCAACTTGCTTATCAGTCTGAAGCTTGCCTGGAACTAATGTTAATTTAGATCTCGTTCTTTTTATTTTGGAACTCAGTTTACTATCAACTTCATTGCCCCTAATCCTAAATAATGATACTGCAAGTGTAAGATGTGTTAGATTAAATATGGTAAGAGTGTGCACACTTTCCTGACATGCTTCATTTGTTTAGATAATGATTTACAACAACCTCTGAAATCTGTGCAGTTACTTCGAAATCGACTTCTGACAACCGCTCGCAAATGTATTGGTAAGAATGCAAGCCTTGAACAAGTTTATGGAAGCATGCAAGAAGCATATCAACAGATGCAGACACCACTGGTTTACCAGCAACCTTCCACTCTGGTATTTGGTTTGACATTGTATTTCATTTGTAAATTCCATATAACATGAGCCTGTACAATTTTGCATCTACAACAATAAAAGACCATAGTAACAAATTTAAGATGCCAAAAATTGATTTAGTATTTTCAAATACTGAAGATGACAAGCCAGATCTTGTTATAGAGTTCTTTCATAAGACATGTATCGAAGTTTCTAAAGTGTTTGACGCAATAACGATTAAAAAGATCTTCTTTCATTTGAGATCTGTTTAAGTAGTCAGGTGCTTATAATCCTGCAACTTTGCCTTGATGTTTTTCTGAACAGGGGCTGAAGGAAATGAACACAGAGAATATTGATGGCCCGGTTGATGAGAGTCTATTTGATATCGAGAAAGAGATTGACGATTTATTGCCTGTTGAGGTAAAAGAACAGCGACTGAGTAACTTGCTCCAATCTACAATGGTAGGAGGATGTGTTGCAGCCATGCCCCTTCTTAAAATGATCCCTACATCAGTACTCTGGGGCTATTTTGCCTATATGGCCATTGAAAGCTTGCCGGGCAATCAATTCTGGGAGCGGATATTATTGCTCTTCACTGCTCCAAGCAGAAGATTCAAGTATCTTCTTAACTCCTCTCCTATCTTCTTCTCAATTTACATTATCTAAATCCTTGGTCATGAGGAAATATACTGAATTGCTTTTGTGTTGCCCTAATTTCATAGAGTATTGGCGGATTACCATGCCACCTTCGTGGAAACTGTACCTTTCAAGACAATTGCAGTATTTACAATTTTCCAGACGGCTTACTTGCTTGTTTGTTTTGGAATTACATGGGTTCCGATTGCTGGGGTACTTTTCCCTCTCATGATCATGCTCTTAGTTCCTGTTAGGCAATACATTTTGCCTAGGTTTTTCAAAGGAGCACACCTTCAAGACTTAGATGCCGCAGAGTACGAAGAGGTGCCGGCTTTATCATTCAACCTAACATCTGTAAGTTCTTAACTTCTTTATACTCATTGCCGGCCTAATATATTCTATTAATCCCTACTATTTGCATTTCAGTTCAGGAATGAGTACAAAATTAGTGTTTAATAAATTTATGGTCTTTGATGTCGTATATATTTCAAAATATCATTTGAATGGGTTTTGTTACTATTTTTTTCCCTTTTTAATTTTCAGATGAGTAGGAACACTTCATTTTCGCAGCCAGAAAGAGAGATGAGCAGGGATACTTCATTTTCACGACAGGAAAGAGTGATGAGTAGGAATGCTTCGTTTGCTAATCATGGAGAAATTTTAGATGGGATGGTTACAAGAAGCCGCGGTGAGATTAGACGCGTGTGCAGTCTCAAACTCTCAAGTTGCAGTGTAACATCGTCCGGAGAATTGAAAAGCATTCAGAGCCCGAGGATCTCAGATAAGGTGTACAGCCCTCGTGTAAGTGAACTGAGAGCAGAGCAGAGTCCCCGGCAAGGTGGAAGAGGACCATTCAGTCCAGTAAAACCATCTAATTTAGGTAAAAGTGGTTAGAGAAAGATGTTAGAAATGGCAAGGATTGGCTTGTGGTTTCAATTTTCATTTACCAAAAACAAGCTAACAGGATGAGAGAGCTTAATTTACAAAACATGCAGGAAATCTGCAATGGTGTGCTGCATTCCCTCTCATTTTTATTTCTCCTTTTACAGTAGTTCTTCTATTTTGTTGATGTGGGATGTCATCGATGTAATATATTTCTGCCTTATACTACCCTGTGGGAATATTTGTAAAAGAAATTGTATTAAATTTGATTTGATAATACTATTCAATCTGCCACCATTTACAGTGACTAGCAGCATAATCTAGTAGTGAGAAAGGTTAATTTACTTAACCTGAAGCAGCCACAATTCAATACACAGGCTGCAAAAAGATGGTGTATATACAAGTTGAAAACACTGAATACTGAAAGCAGCAGGTATCAAAAGATGGTACTCATTGTGAATCATTTGACGTTCCGAGGTTGAATAATTTGGGTGGAGTAAGCTCATCCACGGTCCACCTGTTATCCACTCACACAAAAATGTCACAACTGCAAAAAGGTTGAGTGACATTCGACCGTAAGAAGATAAGAATTGGGAAAAGAATGATAAAAGAAAGATTTGTTGGAACAGAATTGAGAGGAAAGTATCTGTAGTTCTCTCAATTTACATTTAATGATTGGGAAAAAGCGGGGATCCTGAATTACCAACTGTAAAGGAAATCAAAAGTGGTTCTCATATCACTTCATGAGATGTGGGTCGTAGGTTTCTTGGTCCACATAGAGGATGGGTGGATTGACCTTAAAGATAATCTTAAAGTAAAACATGCTTTTACAAAGGAACAGTAATTTTGGAATTGGCACTCGAGAATAATGCAAAAAACAGTTGAATATATATATGATAAAACAAGAGCAGAACTACTTTTATCATACGTTACATTCAATAACAAGGGAGGATTATTCCCGTGTAGTTTTCACGTCAATGCAGCACAGAACTTACAAAAAGGAGCTCAATGATCTTTATGAAATTATCATGTTTGGTTAAAACTTTTGAACTTATAAGAAGCTCCCATTCAATCTCTCATGTAAGCAATTTTCATTTAGCGTAAGGCTTATACAACCACACAATGAAATATCATAGGCATAAAACCAATGGAGCAGTCAAGTCTTGATTTTTATTACTCTGTTAAAAGCTAAAACTTCAACAGGTACATACTGAGAGTTTGAAAAAAAAAAAGGAACTCAAAAAGCATCAGGAACTCTTGTCAAATTTTCGGCCAGACAACCTCTCAGACTCATATAGTATATGGTTTATAAGTCCCCTTGCGGCACTGCAATCCAGAAAAAATAAAATATTCAACATGATGTTGCCAACAGAATTTACAAAAAGTGGAAGTTAGAAATTTTATGTGGTTTAACCCAAGAAATAGAACAAGGAAAAGGCGAAGTGTATAATGGAAGGGGCCAGTGTAAATCGAAAATTCCGAAACATAAGAATACTTTTTATTGCTCCTCTTTGCCATTATAGTCATTAGAAAAAATAATAACTGAAACTTACTCATCCTTCAACTTTTGAATCTTCTCTGGATCTGTCTCATGCTTGTGCTTTTTAAATTGCTGCCTCACCATATCAACGACAAGCGCTGTATTATGTTTCTGCATAATTTACCGAACAAGACCTAGTGTTAACTAAACTTACAAACATGATCAGACAAAATCTAAACAAGGCTAGGAGCGAAAATAAAACTACAATATTTTCAATGCTGGATCCGGCTATTTTAATTAGACCAGGACAATTCCAAATTTCAAGTCTAACTAACTTAATATTTTATGACTCTGCATTTCAGCATAATCTCTGAAGTTATTTATATCACTGCCTATTATTATTAACTGAGTATCAATATGATGACCTTACCTAAAAGCTTCTTAGTATCAAACTTTAAGTTCTGAAGTTCAAATCCCTCACTCTTCACTATGATTCTCAATAAATGAATTCAATCAAACCAAAATCAATCTCAGCACAACAATCTTGGTCCAATCCCCTGTCAAATTCATTACACCTTAAAATCGAATCCACATTACATGTGAGAAAACTTGCTCAATATTAATGTCATTCCTTTCCTAAAAACTAATGCTTTTTGGTCATGTGGATTATATCAGCTCAATTTTGTATCGTTATAAACATTCTCATTCTCCAATCCACAGCTGAGAGCTTCAAGAAATCTCCATTTCTTGGCAAATGAACAACACATTCACATCTCAATTACTAAATACTCCGTCACAAAGATCATATTATCTAAAACTATGATGAAAATGTGGTGCTTACCTGATGACCAACATACTTGGCTCTTCGAAGGCACTCCCGGTAAAGCTGAAATTTTTTAAATTTTTTTAAGTTAAAATAATAATAAGAAGAAGAAGAATATGATTATAAATTTAATAAAAAATGAAGAAATTAATTGATACTAACTCTAATCACATTGTTGGCAAGTTCTGGTGGCAAAGCAGTTTGCAGAGACGGCATCTTTTTCTTCTTCCTTTAAAAGAAAAAAATAAAATAAAATCTTTTTCCAGAACTGTCTGAGAAAAGCAATACAAAAATAATAACATGAGCTTCAAATATGTAAACGAAGAAACGACAATAAAGATGAAGAAGTGGATCATACCTCAGCTCAGAGCCGGCGAAAGGGAGGAGGAAGTAGCTGTCTTCTTCGAACGGCGCCGTTCTAGCCCGAGTTCAGTATATGAATGCTTTTAGACTGATACTTCAATTTCTGTTAGGCCCGAGAAAATAAGGAAGCGATGAATAAGGGCCCAATAAATTGGGTATCATTCTAGGCTGCCCATAAGACAACGATTACAGATGTGGCATCCAGCAAAAATAGCATGACAAATAGCAATTTTTTTTTTTTCTTATATCGGAGTCACGTTTGTTTGGGGTCCTGTTAGCCGAACGTAAAAGAGGGTGTTAGAAATTATATTTGTCTTATATCGTTAATCTCATAAACTGTTATCGTGTATATATGTGGTTGGACTCTCTCCTTCTTTGAACTAGTTTTTTAAAGTGAGTTCTACCAAAACCTATTTATCAATTAAAAATATAAAAAAGTTCTACATATACAAAATTGGGACATAATATTATTGATTTAACTATTTGTATGTTATTGAAATGAAAAAAGTTGCAGCTCAAATAATTCTGGGTGCGTTTGGTTTATTATTTTGGATAGGATTTTGGAGATAGTATTGGATAGTTGGATAGAATTATTATAACGAGGTAAAATTTAAAGGTTTACAAAAAAAATCCCCTAAGTTTACTAATTTAACTAAATACCCCAATATATAAAATTTTTATAAAATGACAAAAACACTCCCACCCACCCATAGCACCAGATTCCAGCCACCATTATCGAAATCTGGCATTATGACTCAGATTGGTCGGATTTGGCCAGACGTGTGCCGATCTGGCCGTCAACGACCAGAAAAAGTCAGATCTACTCGTCACGATATGACCGTCGTTGTCGGTCAACGGCGGCCATTTCTTTGGCCGTCAGTCCAGATAGGCAACTTACCTACCAGTTCCAATGGTTTATAGGCTGTTGTGACAGATTCTGACTATCATTGACAATAGTTGTCGGAATCTGGCAACTATGGATGAATGGAGGTGTTTTTATTAATTTTTAAATTTTTTTTTTTTGGGGTATTTAATAAAATTAATAAACTTAAGAGGTCTAAAAGTAATTAAAAAAATATAATAATATTTTCTAAATAATTAAACAAAGAAATATTTTAAAAATATGGATAGGAATAATAAACTAACGGCATCCTCTGTTACCATATATGAAATCCAATCTATTACAATACAAGGCCAATAAACCTTGGCCCATTCGCACTACTTGTCATCACGCAATGAGGGTATTTGGGAAAAAAATACCCTGAAAGGGATGAAGCCTAAGCAAATAATAATCAAGACCCCTAAAAGATACAAGGTCTTGTAACTTATACAATAATATGTAGTCTATGTAAATCCAAATATTTTTAGTAGAACTTATAGAAGTAAAGCTATTCATCAATTAACTATTGCAGTCGTACGCAGAGGCTTCGACCGCCTTCTGAGGTTGCCCATCATGCAAGCAATTAATGGGAGGAATAGTCAAAGTTTCTTGAGTTCCATAAGCGTTCCAGCAAAAGGGATCATCCAGTAGTTGTCCCTCGTATGGTAGAAGCTCAACATCAGCCATTAATATATCTGTGCAGGCCACAGTGTCACTGCAGGCAAAGTGGATTGGCGTGGTGCGAACATCGTAAGTTCCCTTTATGTTTCTGTATGTGACGCCTGTGACATACACAGCTGAGGTTTGGTTTCGGCATTCTTTTGATAAGCAGTAGTATTGGTCTATGTTTATGCAGTTTCTAACGTTCTCCATTTGGATGTTTTCAAATGAGATTCCCGATACGGAGCCTGACCCGCCTTGCCATGTCTTGATCCTCAGCCCATTGTCCGACTCTCTTATGTTTGCATTGCGCACAGTTATGTTTGAAACACATGCTTCTGAATTGTGCACTCCTAGGCTCCCAATGCTGCAGAAAACAAGAAAAACACATTATAAGCCAGAAAAGTCACGGTATGTTTATTGCCGGCCTCACAAGGCCAACGCATTTATATCAGAAACTTTCAAGATTCCTGTTTAGAGTTGCTTTTTTGAATATCATAAGATGTGACTGAATATTGCAGAAAGGGTTTCAGTTGTTAGTTAGGAGTAGTTAAAGGCAAGAATTTAATTATATTAAAAAAGGGAATATGTATATATGTACCTGATCCCGTGACTAGGCCCGCAAGTGACACCTTCAATGTCCACATTAGCACATCCGGGTCCAATTGATATGCAATCATCACCTATTAAAATAGTATACTTGCATTATTAATTGTCTTAGTTAATCAATTGTCAAATCTGGTAGATGGACAAGGGCATTTTATTTCTGGCTTTACCATTGGTTATCATGGAATTGTAAATGCCAACAGATTTTGTGTTCCCTAAGTGAATTCCGTCTGTATTGGGGCTAAGTTTAGGGGAAGAAATGGATATCTTTTCTATCAGAACACCTTCACATCCATCGAATTTCATATGGAACTGAGGGCTGTTTTGGATTTTTAAGCCACTCACAACCAAATTTGAGCTCATGAAGAACCGAATCAACTGAAGAAATAACAACAATGAACTTGGTTACAAATTTAAGTTTATGATTCAATTGTTGAACTGAGTTTAAGATGATTATACTCACTGCAGGGCTGTCACATGATCCTTTCGCAGTTGATCCGTTGGGACCCTGAAATTATATTTTGTTAGCAAATATTAAAGATTGTTATGAAGAAAACAAAGTGGTAGAATGATAAGATTTAGTTAATGTTAAAGCAGATTAGACTAAAGGGAAATAATTTACCCTGTGAGGTTTGCAAGGAAGATCCCACCATTTCTGTCCATTTCCTTCAATGGTTCCTTGCCCTGTGAAAGTCATATCATCAAGTCTGTAAAAAACAAGCCATTGACTATGGCTATCTGCTTTTGGCCAAGTACCAGGTCCATCTGGCGGCATTAGAACCCCATCCAACTTTAAACATACAAAAAAAAAAAAAAGGTTACACTGTTAGAAATGTAAAATTATTGTAAAATCAGAAATAAAATAGAATTTTTGCAAATGTAGAACTCAGTAGAAATGACATAGAATTTCTTACCTGAAATACAAGTCCTGGCTTGCATGGTCCTGAGAATATTGTTGAAGTGATTTTGAAAGAATAATCAGAAGAAGCGAGAACAACCCCGGACTCTACAGCACAAGCTGCTTTCCATGCTGCCCTGAATGCGGCAGTGTCATCGGCAGAACCGTCGCCGACTGCTCCGAATTTTCGCACGTCAAATATGCTGTCTTTAGGATTTGATGGCGACGAAGGGACGGGTTTCTGACGAGCAGGAGCAGGGTGAGAAACAGGGGAAGGTGAAACAGGGGAGCTTTTGTCCTTTTGTTTTTTGTGGTGGTGATATCTTCCTTCTACATTGCTCGAACATTGAAAGAGAAGAGCCAACGCAAAGCAAATGAGGATTAACAACCCACGAATGAGCTCCATGAACAAAAATCTGTAGAAAACCTTGAAATTTTGGAAGAATGTATTAACAAAATATTTTGAAAATGAAAGAAGGAGAAAAAGGCAAAGAGAAAGAATAAAGAAAGTTAAAAATTTTGAGAGGCGTCAAAGAAACTAGTCAGATAATCTGAAAGACCAATTAAGGCAGAAGGCTCTAATTTATACTCAAATTTAACTTACTTGGAAAACTGTTGTCATGCAAACGATCGACACGTGTCGAGTTCTGGTTGATTCAAAAGTCATTCCCTCTAGGAATACTGTTGGAAGCTTTTGAAACTGCTTATATTTCTCAGTAAGATTAATTTTCCTTCTCAAAATCTCTCTGTATTTTTCTTTTTCCTTTTATTTGGCTCTATGTGACATTTCCTATTTGGTGATTGTGTGTCATGTGGTCCAGAGATCTCTTGTCTCCTATTTTATTCATGTTTTTGTATTATTATTTTATTTTATTTTTGTTGTTTTTGTTGAGACGAAGTTGGGATGAAGAATAATACAACTACATGATGTTGAACAGTAAGAGCCTGTGAACTGCTTTAAGAAAACAGATTCCTAGAATGAAGTGCAGAACCCTGGTCATTTTGTTTCAGGGTTTGTATATTAAGCTTAGAAATTTAAAAGCCAATTATAGGGAAGAAGAGTACAAAGACATTGTTTAATTTTCTTACCTTTTTCTTTGATTACTTGGGATCTTCAGCTATATATATACTGTGATTACTGCATTAAAAATACATCAAGTCATCAACCCATTTATAATATAAGCTCTATATTACTCACAATTTAATAGGTTATCATAAGCTAAAATGTTTTTCTAAGTAATATTGAAGTGATCTCTCTTTCCTTTTTTCTTTCTGTGTGCGTGGCTTTCATTTCAAAATATAGACAAAGTGCATATCAGCATATGATAATTCCCTCTTGGAATTCTACAGGATAAGTTAAAAGTCATATTCAGTTGTACGTATCATCTCAAAATCATAATAAAAACCAGACGGCCAGCCATGCGAGGCCATGCACTTAAATGTTGGTGATGTTGATAAAGATATATAATTTTTATAGAATGAAAGCAGTAGTAGCTATCAAGAGAAAATGAAACGAATATTGTAAGAATATTTCTATTTACTTTGATGTAAAACCAAGCAAGCAAATGCCAAAGAGCCCTCTCGTGACTCTTTATTGTTGTTTAGCTCTTTGGGGCCATAGAAAGAAAAGCACATAAATAAGAACCATGTAGTGGGTTCGCGACAATAGAATTAAGCCACTCACGGGTGCCATTCCATCCAAACTCTATGGTCCATAAATCAAACACACCCACCAACCCACCCACTTTATTCTAACCAAATCCTAAGAAAGAACCCAACCAAAACAACTTTTATTTCTGACATGATCTCCCACGTCAAACATGATCAAAACTACAACTACTATAACTAAAAATTTGCCCAAACAAGTGTATATGATAAGTTAAGTTCACTTTATACTTTACCCCGCGTCAAAATGTGACACGTTGCGTCGTCGTCGTTGTCGCGGACTCCCGAGGGTTTTATGGGGAGCTTGGGAAGTTCAGAAAGGCAATGAGGTAGTTTAAGCTTGTGGGATTGGTTTGCTTATGGTAGAATATACAAAGTTTAAGGAGGTTTTTATAGAGGTTCTGCCTTTGGGCATGTTATTGTTTGAAGAAGATTGAATTATGCTTTATGCATTGCATGCATGTATTTTTGTCTCAGTCTGTCACGTGTGTACTCTCACGGGTGCGTAAGACGGAGAATTTTGGTGCACTTTTCTGCCTGACGCAAGAAGTGATGGTGTGGGGTTTGTGGATTTCGGCTGCCTCACGCGCCACACGCGCCTGATTAAATGTGTTCATGGTGTATGCATGGGCCCTGGAAGTGGGTCATGTTGCTCTATGATTGGCTCTGGGTGGTCGTGGGGCCTGCCATGAAGCCCACATGATAGATCAAAGTTCCAACGCCAAAAAGAATTCACATGCCAGAGCTAACAAGCAACATACAATCTGATGGATTTTGCTGAAATTGAGATAATTCAGGAAGAGCTGACACGTGTCAACTAGGAATTCACGGGTTGGTGTTTCTGTTTCACGGGTGTGACAATAAGACTATAGGCTGAATTATATACATTATTATATTCTTTAAGCTGGGGTTTGGTCACCATAAATCTCATGCTTACGAAGACAATTAATCAGACAATGCCCATATAAATGACAAATTTAGGTGATTAACAACCACTTGCTTGTTTAAGTGGGTATTTAGTTAACAAATTTCCTTAAACTCCCGTTATTCTAAAACTAATCTTGTTGTATTTATCGACGACACCTCGTGCACCAGCTGGCACACACTCATTGGCTGCAAAATAGTACTGTAGGGAATCAAAATCTAATGCTAATACTTGTTGCTAAGTTCACACTAAAGATTGACTATGTATAATATTATGCTTTTTCTTTTTCTTTACATCAATGCTATATATCTACTCAAAACTTTTTTAATTGAATGCAGCGGAAAGGAAAGAAAACAATTGGTGTACCATATGAATCCACTGGATGAATAAATATTGCACCCACCCACTTCATCACCAAAATTGTGACTCTTATTTAGTACAGTAACTGTGAGGTAGCCCTTAGCCCCAAGTCAATTGAATGTGCACAAAATAATTCAGATGGTCCAAACTCCAAACCAGCCTTTTGAATAAATGATCAGTAACAGTGGACCCTTCTTTTATATATTATTTATCTATACAGAATTACAGATACTAAATACGTATCTGACACCTTCTCCCTAAATGGCGATTTCACCTCATTTGTTTGTTGATCTTCAGCCAGTATTTCACCTGCCAGAAATGGTGGCAAACACGTGGATAACTTGAAAGCCACTATCTTTGCAACTTGGAAGAAGAAGCCACAACAGAATTGGCGTTCATGGTGGCAAAGACTTGGACAAAATTTAGTTGATTTATTGTATCATTTTGTCCTTGAAGAATATATATATGATCAGAATCTCTGCTTTTTTTTGTTTTTTTAGAACCTGCTGGAACTTGCTGGTGGGGATACTGAGAGTCTTCGTATCAATATACAGAATATGGCTAGTTTAAACTTACCAAATGACAAACTGTTGGCATATATATAAAACAACCCCCTTGTGTTTTGCCTTTTAATATATGCCTAAAAATTTCTGAATTCTCACTGTAAGAATATTACTCTTTTCTGGACGAAATCTGTTCTAACGTGGAAGAATGTCGTCGGAAAATACCACATAAGCTAACACAGCTAAGCGTCGTTAACCATGGAGCCTCTCCTAACGAAAGCTGCACCGGTACTTACATGACATGAGTTGAGCCCTTTAAGTTTAAGTTCTGTGCTTCTGTCCTATCTCGTTCGGTCGTTCCTCTATATCCGGAAATTAAGCCCACAGACACGAAATATTGTGGGCTTCAATGTGACAATCCTTAAGCCCAATACTATAGGAGAGTTGAGCCTGTTACACCTAGGCCGTAAGGCTCATTAAGTGCCGCAAGTCCAATCCACAACAAATTCTTTTAAGGGAGATGATCTTCAAACCCCACTAATTTGATCAATAAACATTAGAAAATACTACATTTACTCACTATGCATAACGATTCCCCATCTCGACCGACGTAAAGTGCGATGAGGAGTTCTCATCTCGACCATGTATCACTCCACATCAGTCGGGATGGGAGAAAGGTAAGCAGAATCGATATATGTAGTTTTACTCATAGACATTTATGGGTTAAGGTAATAATACTACACTTACAATCCAATTTCGTAAACTTTCTCTACAACCTCGACGTGACAACTCGTAATTAGACAATTCATATAGTGGTCACCTGCGCGCTTAGGTTCCGTCTATCCAATTGCAAGTGTCACGTTCGGGATTGTGAGAAAAAGTTTGTAAGATTGAGTTGTGAGTCAATCGTTATCCGATGAGTTATTGAAATGACAAATTATTGAAACAGATCACTGTTACCAGCCTTTATCAATGCATTTCATATATTGTGTTACTCTTTTATAATTCAGTGTTTATAAATCTTCATTAAGAACAAATTCTCAAATTTACAATTTTATACTTATTTTTACAATTTTACCATCACAAAATAAAAAGCGGGGGCTATGATCAATTAAGTGGAGTTTAAAAATTATTTCTACTCTTTTAATAATTTTCTTCTATTCTAACAAGTAATTTATAGGTGAACTAGTAATTATTGTTTTTTTTTTTTTATGGTTTCATATTATTATTTATTTGTTTTTCATGTTGGATGATGAGGTTCAATGTAGTATAAATGTGAAAAAGGAAAATGATTTCTGTCTTTCAATTTGTTATGTCTTCAACCTAAACGTGTCCGTAGCAAATGAAAATGATATTACAAAACCCTAATTCTAAGAGACTACAAGAGAACCAATTTTCAAAGTAAGTAAACATCTATCCTGATGAAAACATTTCATTATGTAAAACGAGTTTTAGTTCTCTAAACCAAACTGGGCAAGAACAATAAATGATATGGAGCTATGAACTCATCAGAAGCTCATCAGAGTCGATGATCATCAAACAAGAAGGTATTGATATTCCAAAATGGATTAAATAATGTATTAATTTTAGAATGAATAATGCTACAGTTACCGAAAGAATGAACTTTAGAGCCCATCACATTGAATAATGAGGCCTGAGTCATCAAGGCCATTGAGCTCATAATACTGAAGTACCAAGGCGGTTGTATACCTTGATATTACAATTTAGGTCATTTTACACTTAGATTTGTTTCTTTAAAGCAAATAAATCCACTGACGATTTCTAAACTTATCATTTTCACATGTCAACTCTTATTAACACTTTATGTTTTATTGCAAAGAGCATCACATAATTAATAATATGATTAGGTTGCGTTTGTTTCATTATTTCACACCATTATGCTGTTCCTATTCCAAATACAAATACACATTTGTTTTCTATTTTCAAATCATATCATAAATTAAGAAACTTTTAAACCTAAGTTTGTTAATTGACAAAAACACCCTCAATAAAAAAATTTAAAATTAACAAAACACTCCCACTCACCCATAGTGCCAGATTCTGGCCACCACCATCGGTGGTGCCTGGAATCTATCACAACGGACACTACTAGTCGGTAATGTGCGATTTGACATTTTTCGGCTAGATCTACTGTGGTTCTGGTCGTAGATCTGACATTTTTTGACCAGATCCGTGGTGGATTTGGCCGAAAAAGACCAGATCGCACAACTGGTTAGATCGAACGGTTGTACATCGTAACGCCAGATTCTAGCGGTGGTGGCGGAATCTAGCAACTGTAGGGGGTGAGATGTTTTTGTCATTTTACAAAAATTTATATATTGAGGTGTTTAGTTAAATTAGCAAATCTAAGGAGTTTTTTGGTAATTTTTAAATTATACATCTTAATAATCACCAAACTCTACTATCAGTAATATTAAAAAAATATTATTCCAATAACCAAAACAACACACTGCCATTTTTTTTCAACTTTTGTATTATGTTTGGATTAACACATTCACATGTTTTGACAATTTTAATAAATTGCTTGATTTACATATAAAATAGTTGCCTTAATTTGTCCACCATAAATGGGTTATTTAGCAAACCTTCCTTTGTGTGTTTATTCTTTTATAGGGTACTCATTAGTTTTGAAAATGCGATCCAACTCACATGTTTGGTCTTTTTGTGATGAGTTTTCGCTGTTTTAGATGTGCCATTATAATCCCATTCTTGAAGGAATGACGTTTTTACTATTTACCTAAATTTGATCGATCAACATTCAAAATTCATCAAAAATGTTGAGAGCTCCAATATTTTTTTGAGGTTAAATTGATGAAATTGTGTATAAATTTGGAGGTTGGGTTGACAGGTGTCCCAAACCAACATTAGCTCCCTATCAAAAAGGCCAAACATAGGGGATTAGAATCGTTTTTTCTGAAAGAAAGTTAAAACACCATGGTTAAGATTACATTTTTTTAAACTAACTATATCACTACAAAAAGGCAAATAAATGGGGGTTACTATGACAAAACATCCATAAATTCATCAAAATTGTCTAAAACAAACCATAATCAAATTTATAGTTTGAGTTTGATTTTATTCATAGAATAGTAATGATATAAATACAAAATAATATCACATTTATTTTATCATAATTATTTATGATCAAGGCCAGGAAGATGCCAAGTCATAAAACTCATTAAAAGAGCGTTTGAACAAAGTGCCATTTCGTAATTTTGTTTTTTCCTTTGTTTTTCTTTTCAAAAAACCGTCCGCTTCTGTTGCTTTATTCTTTGTACAGATCAAAACGACTGAGGGTTTAAAGCTCAACTTGTCTCCAACAAACCTTATAATCGATCAAGCAATAATCCAAAACAAAAACAAACTTACACCGCTTACGTGTTCTCCAATGGTGATCTTTTTCGCCGATCATTTCTTCAACTTGCAGAAACATAAGAGAAGCAATAATCTGGTGCAGACTGGCTTATCATAACCATGTTCGAAGCTCACGTAAGAATTATTTTTCCTTTTTTTTAATTTTTTTTTAGGTATATATTTAAATTTGTTTTAGCTGATAGAGCTCCGTGAATTCTGGTTTATGATTTGATGATGGTCGAGTGTGCCGAGTGTCTGTGACTTCTAACCGACATGTCGTTTTTGAGTATTCTTAGTGTTAAAGCTCGAGAGCTCTTTTATTATGATATAATCTAGCTTTGCTGCTTAAGAATAAATTAAGTTCAATGTGAACCGTTTGATTTTTTTTTTTTTTTTTTGGCCAATTATTTTTGCTTTTTTCTTTTTCGTGTTTGAAAAGAACACATGCAGAGCTAATTACATTCAAGGGATTAAAGGATTTAGAATTGATGATATTTAATTTATATTATTTCTTATAAGTTATTGTGGTCAATTTGAGTTGTTTTTGGCTTGATTATAAATCTGTAGTTCGTTTTATTGCTTGATAATTTATTCATGTGTATTTGGACGGTGAATAACTAGAGAGGGTTTTAATGGTTCGTCACTTGCAGGTTCTGCATTTGCTTCGAAGATATTTGGGGGAATATGTCCATGGACTTTCTGTGGAGGCTTTAAGAATCAGTGTTTGGAAAGGTTTGTCTTAGAATCTTTGGTGTACATGTATACTGCAATTTGCTGATGTATTGCCTAATATTTCTGAGCTGAGATATGCTTGTTTAAACTTTTTGTTTTGCGCTTAAAAGAGGGGAAAAAAAAAAGAAAAAAAAAAAAAAAAGAAAGGAATTATTGTTACCCATGGAAGGAATCTCTGAACTGGATTAAAAACTGGTAAAGCTGTCTTCGTACTCCGTGGTGTCATTGCTTGGCTGCAAAATCACGTCATGTTGGCGCTAACCTTTTTGCCTGTGGTTTAAAAAAATTGTAATGTCTGTCTTTTTATACAGGTGATGTGGTTTTGAAAGATTTGAATTTGAAGGCGGAGGCACTAAATTCATTAAAGCTTCCCGTGACTGTGAAAGCTGGTTTTGTTGGTACGATAACATTGAAGGTAGCTATTGTCAATCTTATGGGTAATTGATTTTTTCTTGACTTGAATTTTTATTTTATTTGTTTGATTATATGTTTTTGATTTTTTTTTTTTGGTATAAGTGGTTTAGTCTAGCGTGTCTGATTGTTTGGGAAGCTGTATTATATTGTATTCCCGAAATTGAAAATACATTTCTGTACATTGTCAGATTTTCATTTACCCCTTGGACATTTAGTTTATCTATTTATATTTTCAAATAATTATGTTATAGTATATATTAATTGATATGAGTGTCTGTTATGAACAAAGAAATTTACCATAAGAGTCGTTACAAAGGAATTATACACAGCATCATTTATTTAACAAAATGAAGTGGGTTAATGAAGAAGTTCGAAGAACAAATTTGAGTCCTTTTTGTGTAGACCTTGTTATCACCATTCTGTATGGTATAGTGTCATATGGAATTTCAAGCTGCATTTCTGGTGAATTTGCTAAATGATTGGTCATGCTTTTCTTCTTGAGTTTTGTGACTTGGTTTTGGTGGAAGGAGATTCAATTCACGAAGGTCATCATTAACTTTTGAACTAAAATTGCATAATTGTTGGTCTTTCCATTGGGTGTTTGGAGGAGAAAAAGCTGTGGTCCTTCTGGAGATGCTATATATTGTTTGTGGTTTGAATTATTATGGATTGAAAGAAATAAAAGAATATTTGAGGAACATGAATATGAAGACTGAAGTTGCTGTGGGAAAGAGTTCATACTCTTTCTTCTTCATAGGTACTGCTAATGGAACAATTTGGATGGATCTCTTTTTTTCTTTATTCCAAGGGATTAGGTAGCTGTTTTTTTATTAATTTTAAGAAGTTGTTAGTCCTGTTTGATGGAGTCTTGTAGTGAGGTTTTTGACTTCACACTTATTTTTTCTTCTATCCAGTGATTCTGGTCTACCTGTTTGTATATTAGTTTTATTTTATGAAAAAATTTAATTGGCTTATAAAAAGAAAAGTTTGTTGGAAATTGTAGGCACTAAGTCAAGCTTTCTTTCCGAGCATGCTTTCAAATTTGATGTTTGTTTTAGTGCTCTTATGTTCTGTAATACCTTTTTCTTATCCACCTCTTTCTATTAAATAGGTTCCGTGGAAAAGTTTAGGCAAGGAACCAGTAATTGTTCTCATTGATCGTGTCTTCATTCTTGCCCATCCTGCTCCTGATGGCCAGACTCTCAAGGTTGAATAATTTTCCTTGGTGAAAATGATAATTCTTTTACTGCTTTTCTTTAAACAGGGTTTGTTTGTTTGTTTGTTTTCCTTTGGGTTCTAAATTTTTCTGGTTTCATTATTTGATGTAGGAGGACTGGGAGAAACTTTTTGAAGCCAAACTTCAGCACATTGAGGTGAAAATATATTTTCTATTATTTACGCATCCTTCTTTGCAGTTCCATGATAAACTGTATTCAAGAAGTGCTCGATGTATATGTTAATTATGCTTTGACACACAGCTCTCAATTCGGTTACCTTGCAGTTTTATGATGCATTTGTGTGTGATTTTGTTGTGTTTGCAACATGCGAAGCCACTCCCTTTTAAATATAAACCCTTTGGTCTACATTGGATTCTATCCTATGATATATTTCAAGTGAATCTGTTATTGTTTGAGAAGCTGGGGTTTGTGATTTTATTTATTTATCAAACAATCGGAGTATGTTAAAGAGAAACCTGAACAATGCAATTGTCTTACAAAATAATAAAGTTCAAGTTCTCTAATTTGTGAAGCAGGGAAGTTGAAATTCATGAGAATGTTGTAAAAGTAGAAAGGATAGATGATATTATCATTGAGCCTTGACTTTGTTTGGATAATTTAATCACATCATAGCTTTTGAATGACCATCGTATGCAGGATTAAGTTGTCATAGCTAGCAATATTGCAGCTAATTAGGATCAAAAGCTTTGTTGACACATGCACAATCCAATTTCTAGACCTCTTTTTCTAATATTTAATGGTATGGCTTGCTAAAATATCCAATAATATCTGCAAGACAAATAATACGGCAGATGGATAGAGAAAGAATACCAAATGATTTGTGTATATGTATACATAAATGATTTTAGTGGATTTGATTTCTCAGAATTGTTATGTTTGTAAGGCACCTTTTATCATTTTGTCTTTTGTAAGAACAACTTTTATCATCAATTAGCATGTTGGATGCTTGTTGACACAACAATGATAATGCCTTTCTGTCTGGCAATTTTTAGTAATATTACTGACTATAGTTTGGAACTATGAGGTTTCTTTACATAATTAGATTATACATTTGTTGGCATATTAAACCCAAACACATGGCAGAATGCATATAGATCAACCACAAATTGGCATGGTTGTGTCATATGCCTCAACTTTTGGGTGCTTGAAATATTCATTCAAAGTGCTCTACCATTGTTTGTAATTTATTCTAGGATGAAAATAGCCTTACTTTTGTGGCGTTCAGGACGAGAATTATGCAATTGAAGTTTCTGCCTTTATTTTTTCGTTTATTTTATCATGTTCATTTATAGTAATTCCATGCAGGAAGCAGAATCAGCAATCCTAGAAGCAAAATCAAGGTCAAAGCTTGGCAGTGTATGATTCTAACTTCTTGCTTTAATTTATATAACTAATTTGTTGGTTCAAATTTTTTTTTTTGCCAATAAATATTAATTTATTGGATAGGGATATATGTGTCTTACACCTCTTTTTCATTCATGGTTGTTAGAGCTTAAACATTGTTGTTGGACCCTTACTTATTGGCTTAAGCTTTTAACCCAAGTGGTAATGTAACATGGTGCTAGAGCCACGTTGACCAAATAATCTTGTATGTGAATCTTCTGATTGTATTAGTTAAATTATTATGAGTTTTGTGTGCTTGTAGTTCTGTTGTGATTGTAGTTGACTCGTTGTGTTCATTCCACGTACTTGCACATGANTTTTTTTTGCCAATAAATATTAATTTATTGGATAGGGATATATGTATCTTACACCTCTTTTTCATTCATGGTTGTTAGAGCTTAAACATTGTTGTTGGACCCTTACTTATTGGCTTAAGCTTTTAACTCAAGTGGTAATGTAACATGGTGCTAGAGCCACGTTGACCAAATAATCTTGTATGTGAATCTTCTGATTGTATTATTTAAATTATTATGAGTTTTGTGTGCTTGTAGTTCTGTTGTGATTGTAGTTGACTCTTTGTGTTCATTCCACGTACTTGCACACGAGAGGGCTGGGCATGTCAAGGCTCAAATAATATTTTGGATCTTTACTATCGGCTTAACATTACTGATCAACTTAACAATGGAACTGAATCTTCATTGTTGTCTCTAATCTGTTATGTATAATAGAGGGCCTATTGATCTGTATGTTTTCACATGTTAGAAACTATGCTTAATTTTCTATAACCTTATGTGTGCTCCTTGAAATAATTTTTTGAGTCAGATTGACTGGTAATTGCTTCTTCTCTATGCATCCAAGTTCTCATCTGGGTATATGAACGAATGACAATATACACGCATTCTTCATTTGCAATTGACTGTTGATTTTTATGCAGCCTCCTCCTGAAAATTCATGGTTGGGATCTCTAATTGCTACCATAATTGGAAATCTAAAGATATCAATTAGCAATGTACATATTAGATATGAGGATTCTGTTAGGTAAGTGGCCAGTTGCTTTAAAAGGTGTATTGGGCATTTCAATTTTTTTTTTAGACTTGTGTTTCTTGATGGGCTAGATCTTGTTAGTCCTTTTGTTTTTTCTTTCGTCCTGGTTGATCTCTGCTTATTTCATGCAACAATGTTGCATTTTGCAGTAATCCAGGGCATCCATTTGCATCAGGTGTTACTTTGGCTAGGCTGGCAGCTGTTACAATGGATGAACAGGGAAATGAAATTTTTGATACTAGTGGTGCTCTGGATAAGTTGCGAAAGGTTTGTACATCTCTTCTTTCCTTGATGAGCTGCTACTACTGAGATGTTTATGTGAAGAGAAGAGTATTTTGAATCTCATTATTGTCTTTCAAAGACGTAGATTTGTGTTCATAAAATTATTTAGAATAGTTTGGTCTTCTCTTTAGGTTTTAATTTCTTAGGATTCAAGGAAGTGTCTTTCTTCTTTGTTCACGAAAATTGGAAGGCAGCAGTTTTGCCGAGGAACATGTTTTTTGTAATTACTTATGCCATATAGGGTTTTGCGGGGGAGGCAGCAGTTTGTTGAGTAGTTAATTTTTTTAAAATTATTTTTTTATAGGATTCTGTGAGGGAGCTTAACTTTATCACATTTTAGACTATTCCCCTTTAGTTTTTTCTTCTTTTCAATTGTATATCCTTTTTCTTTTCTCTGAGCAGGTGACTGTTTCATGTAATGGAGAAATTTATGTCTCTAATACTTTAGACAAATTTGTATTCTACTGAAGTTTTTTATGGCAACATTGATGTTGATCCTGTGCTAAATGCAAAATTCTATGGGCTAATAGATACGTTAATTTTGTTACAGTCATTACATCTTGAGAGGCTTGCTCTGTATCATGATTCTAATAGCTTCCCCTGGAAGATAGATAAGAGATGGGAAGATCTCAGTCCCAAGGAGTGGATTGAGGTTTGTTTTTGTCAAATTATTATCCTCTGTTATTTTGTAGTTGCATATGTTTCCTAAGGCCAATGGGATTCATTACATCTTGTTTCTTCTCTCCTCTTTCAATTAATTTTTGTCCAGATATTTGAAGACGGTATTAATGAACCTGCTGCTGATTCTGGGATGGTATCTTCTTGGGCTTTGAATCGCAAGTACTTGGTGTCACCTATCAATGGAGTGCTTCAATATCATCGCCTTGGAAATCAAGAAAGAAATGATCCAGACATTCCTTTTGAGAAGGCTTCTCTTGTATTGAGTGATGTATCATTAACTATTACAGAGGTGTGAAGTTTTTTATTTTTTATTTTATCACTGTCTAAATGTTTCTAAACCCTCAGTCTACTTAATGAAGCACAAAAAATAAGAAGTCAAGAGAGAACTAAGATAGACAACTCCAAATTTGAGCCAACAATAGCATTGCAATTTTTTTTTGGATAGAGAAAAGAGTTTTTTAAAATTCTTTGGAAACTAAGCCCACAAGATGCTAAGATTGAACTTAATCCCATAAGAATTCTACTTCTTCATCAGCCTACAGTACTTGATCCTATCTTTTTCCTCTTGACCTGCAAGAGAAAGAGAAAAGTTGGATTGAAGCTTCTTTCTAGCGAAAACTATCCTTTTTGGCTAGTCAATGGAAGGCTGAGTTCTTGTGTATTTATCTTTTTTCACAGGAGCAATATCATGATTGGATAAAACTGTTAGAAGTGTTTTCAAGGCACAGGACATATGTGGAAATTTCGCACTTAAGGCCTCTGTTGCCAGTTTCAGAGGGTCCTCATTTGTGGTGGCGTTATGCTGTTCAAGCTGCCCTTCAGCAAAAGAAAATGTGGTATATAGTTTTATCATATAACTGTTATTGGCTAGTTAGAAAGGTTATATGTAAATTGAAAACTTTGGGGTTCTAATGCATTGTTCCCCAGTTGTTGGTTGAACACTTCACATGGAATCTATTGTAATTATTGTATATATATATGAAGTTGATGTTGGTTTCATAATTGATTCCTTCTTCAGCTATCGCTTCTCGTGGGACAGAATTCAGCATCTCTGTCAGCTTCGTCGTCGTTATGTTCAGTTATATGCTTGCTCCTTGCAACAATCATCAACTGTTGATAACTCAGAGATTAGAGAAATAGAGAAAGATCTTGATTCCAAAGTAATTCTGTTATGGAGGTATGGCGATTTAGCTTAGCCTCGCACTTTGGTGTTCTTTTAAATAGTTTGATACTGTGACAAAAGTGTGGATACTGGGATTCCATGAATCAATAAGATATTATCAATATTGTAAAATGTAGGCTGAAGTTTTTTCTACAGGGAATTTAATACATGGTCTATGTTGGAAACATCCATTTTGTTGTTTCTAATGTTACACATTTTGTATGTACATTTAGGTTACTTGCACATGCCAAGCTTGAATCAGTAAAATCAAAAGAAGAAGCTGAACAGAGGCGGCTTAAAAAGAAAAGTTGGTTTCCATTTACATGGTGGGTGGGAAATTTTTACCTTTTTCCTGGAGAAAAGTTACGTTAATTGGGATTAGTGAATTGATTGTTTTGCTTGCTTAACTTTGAGCTATCTCTGTGCTTACAGGGAAATTTAGCTTTTATTATTTATATATGTTCCTGGTGACTTATTTCTAGCTTCCTCTTATTTCAGGCTTGCGAACTCAGAGGATGCCTCTGTTGGGGAAGGTTCTAAGGAATCACCGTCAGTGGAAGAAAGTCTGACCAATGAAGAATGGCAGACAATAAATAAGTTGCTAAGTTACCAGCCGGGTGAGGAGTTGATGTCGCATTCAGGAAAGGACATGCAGAATATGATTAAGTATTTGGTCACTGTATCTATAGGTCAGGCTGCAGCAAGGATAATGAGTATCAATGAGACCGAAATTCTTTGTGGTCGGTTTGAGCAACTTCATGTTTCAACCAAGTTCAAACAACGTAGTACCCACTGTGATATATTATTGAAATTCTATGGCTTATCTTCACCTGAAGGTTCACTTGCTGAGGTTTGTTTTCATGCTCTGTCATGGTGTTTGTATTTTCTGTGGCAAGGTTTTGAGTTTAATAATATTAAGGATCACATATTCTGATGCGATATTGGTGCGAGGTTCTTTTAATATCTGTGTTTGTTGACTTTCAAATTTGAACCAGCTTCAGTTTTTTATTTTTGGAACTTTATTGTATTTTTGCACCTTCTCTTGAAACTTTAATGAAACTTATTATGTAACTTATATTTTAAAAGGTTAAGCTAATAGAAAATAGAATTAAACTCTAGTACAATCTCTCATGTGTAGGGTTAATTTTAATTTACAAAGCCTGGCTGTTAATTGGATGGGGTTTTGGCTGATTTGTACAAGTTGATGCTGCTCTGAAGTTTATAACAAATTTTGTTTTCACTGCATAGATTTTTTTTTGCAAGCTTTTTGTTCCCCATTTTAAGAGATGTCTGTCTTTTTAATGGATACTAGCTCCACCCTTCTAATCAATCTCTAGTTTCTCAAATATCATTATACATGTTTCTGGTCTTCCATTAAAAATAATTAAGAGACTTGTCATACGGTTCTTAACACACAAAAATATAGATCCAAACACATACAATGGCAAACAAGAATAAGTCTAACAAACATCATGTGATAGTTTATAAACCCTTTTCCCCTGCATTGGGAAATTTTAATTTTTGTTTTGCATGCTGACATTTGCTAGTATGTGTTTTGCAGAGTGTCTCCAGTGAGAAGAAGGTAAATGCATTAGCTGCTAGTTTTGTGCATTCACCAGTTGGGGAGAATGTTGATTGGAGGCTATCAGCTACAATTTCCCCCTGCCATGTCACAGTAAGCTTTTGATTTATATATGATAATCTGTCTCTTTAATGGATGGGTATTGGGTGCTGTTGTAACCGTTTCACGATAAAAGTCATTAACTAACTTTGTTTGCATGAACAATTGTAGTTGGAGAGTCATCCATGTTTCCCTTAAGTTTGAAAACTTTACTAGTTACTTTGAAAGCATATCTGGCAGGTGAAAAGCGTATAATGTCTCAGTGTTATATTGCACGGATTGATATTTGTGTTATAACTGGTCTTTACATATGACTCATTACCTTTTGATGTATTCTATTATGTGCAGTGGCTGCTCACTATATTATTATGTATGGGATGGTTTTTCTTGTCCTTTTATTTATCTTTTTGGCTGGTCTGTCCTCAACTATACCCTGTAAATCAAACATTCTCAATTCTTAAATTCGCAGGTTTTGATGGAAAGTTTTGATCGGTTTTTTGAGTTTATAAAGAGGAGTAATGCAGTTAGCCCAACTATTGCATTGGAAACTGCAACTGCTTTGCAGGTAATGTTGTCAACAAAATGATATAACACTATATTCCGTAGGCTAATTATTATTGCATGCCTAGTGCAGATGAAGATTGAGAAAGTGACTCGCAGAGCACAAGAGCAATTTCAAATGGTCTTGGAAGAACAAAGCAGGTTAACAGCAATGTTATTATTTTACTTTGCATGTTGTTCTTTATATTCACTTCTTGAGTTTGTGTATGGACAACATAGAGATGAAATTTTTCATTTTCTTTAATGTGGCTTATAACTTGATTGTTTAATATCCTCCTTGCTTAACTGCTTTAGGGAAAGGAGAGAAAGCCAAGACCCTTTAGAAATACATGTTAGCTTAACTAATTTGGCAAAAGAGAAGCAACTTTGCTTTTGAAGGCAAAAAAGGGGATGAATCCAGTAACTTGTGGGATATTCTGGCAATTCTTTGGTCTTCACTCTTAAGGATTTTCAAACTCATCTCTCTTCTTTATGCTACTAAAGTAGGAAGGGGTTCTTAGATAGTTATTTTCTTGGGGTTCTTTTGGTAGCAATGTCTACTCTTTTGCCTTTATCCTTTGGTTAGTTAAAAATGCCAAAGATACAACTATACATGTTTGTATAGCTTTTGTCTGCTCGGGCTGATTTTGTTTTGCTAATGTGGGAGACATGTTCCATCTGTGTATCTAATCTTCTTCAGTAATACAAATCTTTTGTTTCTTAGTGGGAAAAAATTTGTGGCTTTGCCCAACCTTAATAGTTTCCTTTCTTTTCTACAGTTTACTTTTTGCAAGGAGAATGTAAATGATGTACAATCATGTTTTTTTTGGTCTGTTTTCTTCAGATTTGCTCTTGACATTGATCTTGATGCTCCAAAGGTTAGAGTTCCTATAAGGACCTCTAGCTCTTCCAGATGTGATAGCTATTTTTTCTTGGATTTTGGTCATTTTACTCTCCACACCATGGTAGGCTGCTTTAATATGGGCTTTTGAGTTTCTAATAGTGACATTTTCGTTGCGAAATGACACTATCGATACTGCAGGGAGGCCAGTCTGAGGAACATAAGCAGAATATTTATTCTCGTTTCTACATATCTGGAAGAGATATTGCTGCTTTTTTCACAGATGGTAATTCTGACAGTCAGCAGTGGACTTCGATTGTGGCACTGGATAATAGTCAACCGTATGTATCTCCTACGATTGCAAAAGTTGATAGTTTCTATTCTCTCATCGATAGGTGTGGAATGGCTGTAATTGTTGATCAGGTATTACTTCTGCGTAATTTTGCTTGTAGTTTTCTTATACAATAGTCATTTTTATTTAATATTGGCTGTTATTCTTTCTGACCAGTGTTTATACTTATAATCCTTGTGCATCTGTTAATTTCAGATAAAAGTTCCTCATCCAAGTTATCCATCGACTCGTGTTTCTGTTCAAGTGCCAAATCTTGGTGTTCACTTTTCACCTGAGCGATATCTCCGACTCATGGAATTGTTAAACATACTACAAGGTAGAATGGAAACTTGTGGTCAGCCTTCTGTTGATAATTTCCAAGCCGAACTAGCCCCTTGGAGTCCTGCTGATCTTGCTAGTGATGCTAGCATTCTAGTATGGACGGTATGTCCTGTTGCAAAATGAAAATAAGTTGATCATATATCTGCCCTATCTATGTGTCTGATTTTAACCATTTTCCATATTAACTTACGTGATCTAGGGGATTGGAAATTCTGTTGCTACGTGGCAACCCTGTTTTCTTGTCTTATCTGGTTTATATCTCTATGTCTTGGAATCTGAAAAGTCCCAGAGCTACCAGCGATACTTGAGGTTCCCCCTGGCTCCTTTACCTTGTGTTTTCTGTCCTGTTGATATCTATCCAGCTGCTAATTATTTGGCAATTAATATTAGTATTATTATCTTTAAATAATTGTTTTCTGGTTGTGGTCCTTGTCGCATTCTTGAATTTCTTCTTATTTAAAGGTTCTATCTCAAGTCTAAAATTTGTTTGTGGACAATGCAGTATGGCTGGTAGGCATGTGTTTGAGGTTCCACCAACAAATATTGGTGGTTCACCATTTTGTATTGCTGTAAGTTTCAGAGGAACGGATAGTCAGAAGGTAAGCCTTGTTGGTTTATGTATGTTTATGGTGTTCAATCACCTCCATCACAGTCATAATGAATGGTTATAACTAAATTATTCTTACTTATCATTGGGTTGTTGAAACTAATTGAAATAGGTAAAGGTGCTTTCCCCATTCGGAGGGAAAGTGAAGGGTATATTGGTATGTACAGTGATTCAGAAAAATAATGATTAGGTCTCCCTAGATTTCAATATTTTCTGGTTGTCCAAAATGCAAACTTCTGCTTCTCTTTTCTTATTTGAAAGAAAATAAAACACAAGAAAATATTTGCTGCTTTAACAAAAAATTATAGCAAAGGAAAAATACAAAGGAGGTAACCCATTTGCGGACCATTAAAACCTGAAGATAAATGTCAAAACTATAGAAATGCGAAGTCCTGGTGTCCACCACTAAAACCTGAAGACGAATATCAAAAAAAAATCAAAAAAAAAAGAAAAAAAAAAAAAAGAGTAACTCCATGCTCAAGCCAAAACTACATCCCAATTATTAAAGAAAAGAATAATGTTGAAAACTTCTGAGACATTGAAGCCAATTAAGATTTTAAGAATCAAACTCTATCCCACAATAAATCAACTTCCTTCCCTTCTGGCTTCTTAAAAAAAAATTTCTATTTCGTTTTTCTCAAATAACACAAAAATCTAAATACACAATATCTCTATGGCACCAGGCTTCGTCACTTCTAAAGGCATAAAAAACAAGTTCTCATGTTATAGCTGTCTTCAAAATATTACTTTGTCAAGATTTTTTTGCAAATATCAACCATTTATTTGCCAATGTTGGTAAACTTTTTCAATTTCAACATGATTAAATTTCTTATCATTGTTTCCTAATCCCATGGTTGTGGGTTTTTTAAGATCACATCTCCACTTCTTGTGGAGATTTTACCTTTTCATTTTTTGATACTGAGGGACATATGCATTTTCTTTTTAGTGCTAGAAAGTGGATTCTTCCTTCCTATGTATCATATTGTTTTTATGTAATAAGAGTGGGATTATTTCAGCAGGCTCTGGAATCTTCTAGTACCTTGATTATAAAGTTTCGGGAGGACAGGGAGAAGGAAACTTGGCTGAAAGAACTTATGCGTGCCACATATCAAGCCTCCGTATCATACTTTCTCTAATATCTTTATGAACTTTTCAAATTATTCATTCGTTATTGTTGGAAATTAACATCTATATTCTTTATGCAGGCTCCTCCAACAGATGATGTACTTCCAGAAAAAATTGATGCTGTAGCTGAGTTTAATGAACACCAGACAATAAATTTGAAAACAGCAGACCTTGTCATTGATGGGGCACTGGTGGAAACAAAGTTATTTATATATGGAAAGGTTAGCTGTTTCTATGGTGCTGGATACGTATATGTGAATTATCTTGCCAAAATTACCTCCAAATTCTTTTTATTTTTGAGAAGAAACATATAAATATCCTTAAAGATTTACCTCCAAATTCTCATACATGGTTGTGGATATTTAGCTAAATGATTAGTTTACCTTTGAGGTTTTTCGTTATAAGATTTACTGTTGAGCATTCCATTTGTTCATGGTGTTATGCAGAATGGAGACAAAGTAGATGAAAAACTTGGAGAGACTTTAATGCTCGAGGTTCTAGCTGATGGGGGAAAGGTTTGTGTAACTAGTTTCTGTTTTTTCTTTGTTGGAATATAAATAGCATTGCCCTTTACTGTCATATTCAGCTTTTAGGTTTAATGATTACTTAACAATCTATTACAGTCAAGCTGACTAGGAGGTCTTATTTTCAATTCTACCCTATCTGATAAATAAATTATAAAATTGAGCAAGTACGGCTTTTATTTTTTGTTTTTGGGACCCTATAATGTCGTTATATCTACTGTAAAAGTCTGTTAAAATGTAGCCATGCATGAGGCATGTTAGAATTTAAATACTATTTTTTGACCTTGTTCTGTCGGTTACTTTTTGGGGTTGATGGTTACTCAAAAATAATGACCGGGTTCTTTCATTACAAAGCTTCAGATACTTTGCGTTTGAACTTGAGTTGGAATTTTCATTTTGCATTCCTTATTCTGTTAAAGCTTTTGTGCCTTTGCTGTCAATCCAGGTGAGAAAGCTTCCCCTCATAATGCCTTTTTTGTCTTTGTGGCTATAGTGGATCTATTACTGGATCCTTTATAAGTGACTGTTTTAATGTGTCAGTTAAATCATGAAAGTAGGCCCTGTTTAGAAATGAATGAATTAATTGTGTTCCTGTATTCTGGGAAGCAATATAATATGTAATTTGAAGAGTTTTTCACCCCCTTTTTCCTGGTGTAAGTGTAAGGCTTGATCACTTTGATTAAGTATTGGCAACATAGAATGTTTCTGTTTGCCCCAACACATTTAGCCTACATATGACTGCTACCTCTGGATCACCATGTTTGCTTACAGGAGTTGGGAGTTTTTTTGGCTTTTTCTTTACTGTCTTTGTTAACTTATTTTGCATTATGAATCGGTTATAGCCTGTACTTACAATTCTTATTTCTATTAACTGCTGTTAAACATTACACAATATTGTTGTACAGGTGCACTTAATTAGTTTGGATGGTGATCTAGGGGTCAAGATGAAGCTGCACTCTTTGAAAATTAAAGATGAGCTTCAAGATCGTCAATCTGCAAATCCACAGTACTTAGCGCGTTCTGTGCTGAAGAAGGATAATTTACTTACTGCTCATGGCACTTGTAATACCCCTGTGAAGCATATGTCTGTTGTACATACAGAGGAGGACGATGCTTTTACAGATGCTTTGCAAGAATTTCTATCTGTAACAGATACAGATATTTATTCACCAAAAGTGGATACATCTCAGAGTAGCATGATTGATGGAATGAATTATTCTGGTGAATTTGAGTCTGCTGAAGCCTTAATTCATGAAAATGATATAATTCAAGGAAAGAGCTTTTCTAGTGAGATATTTTATGAGGCACAAGGTGGTGAGAGTTTGGATTTTGTGTCTGTTGCCTTCTCAATAAGGAGTTCCAGTTCTCCTGATTATCGTGGAATAGATATGCAGGTACCTTTATGAGCATTATGGACTTTGGGTTATGGTTCATAGACTATACTCACATTATTATTATTACCGCAATTATTATTATTGTTTGCTAATCTATTCAATGGAAAATTTTCAGATGAGTATTCGCATGTCCAAACTAGAGTTCTTTTGCAACAGACCCACTCTTGTTGCTTTAATTGGTTTTGGTTTTGATCTAAGTGCTGTTAATTATGCGGTGAATGATATGGACAAGAATAAGAGCTCAGATGAGAAATCTTTGATCAACAATGAAAAGAAAGAAGAAAATGGGCGTGTAAAGGGGTTGCTGGGTTATGGTAAAGATCGTGTGGTGTTTTATTTAACCATGAATGTTGATAGTGTGTCTGTGTTTTTGAACAAGGAGGATGGTTCTCAACTTGCTATGTTTGTGCAAGAAAGCTTCCTATTAGACCTTAAGGTACTGAGGATCTTGTCATCCTCTCCTTTTCTGTTTCTCTGCTGTAATGCTTGTAATGCATATTCTATTGCTATTGCAAAATTTAGTCTTCTGACTTTAGATCTGTGTTTTACTTGTTTTTTAAGTGAAGTTAAATCTCATTTTTATTTCCAGGATTGACTCTTTTTGTTTTTGCTCTCTAACTTGATTTGTTTTTCAATAGGTCTATCCAAGTTCCATTTCTATTGAAGGAACATTGGGAAATTTCAGACTCGTGATATGTCTCTTGGTGCAGATCACTGTGGGGTTGGCTTTGTGATATACGCAATCCTGGGTTGAATCCCTTATCAAGGTAAATTTGTCAATTTTTTGACGGCCAGTTGATGTGGGAGGATTAATTTTGTTAACTATTTGACCTTTGCCGTGCTGATGCAGTTTTGAACAAATTGAACTCCAGCTTTATTATAGGGACATTTAATTATCGGGTTTGAGCTCAAACAATGTAGTGTTTGTCTTGATGCTTGTTAAGATACAAGTTATATACTCCATCCTTCTGAAATCGTTTGACCCTTAGAGAAATATAACTTTCTGGGAATCATATATTGCGTTTCCGCAGATCCTTCTGAATTGTTTGACCCTTTTAGAAATATAACTTTCTAAGGCAATTCATATATTGCATTTGCGCAGATCTTAAATGGTGTTGATTAAAGTGAGACAAATTTAGTATACTATAAACATATCATCTTTACTTCAAAAGTGAGTAAACAATTTGGAACCGGGGAGTGTACATATGTATACACACACATATTTTAATAATATTACACATAATATTTGTAGATAAATAGTTATGTTTTATTTATCGATGCTTGAGTTTACGTTGAACATACTTACATTATTTCAATACAAACTTGATATAATTTTTGATGCTCATTGAACTTGATATGCTTGGGCTCGACTTGTTTGAATCACTAGATGCAAACTTCTATATCTTATATAGTTTTGCCTTTCTATTGTACTTTGACATGTCCTTTATCTCTTTTCTTTTTCTTTCAGTTCAAATTTGACTCTTAAATGCTGGAGATGACGTATGAAGGATATGACTACGATTGTCTGGTCGGCTTTCAGGTGTTCGCATTGTTTTCCTCTATAGTTTTGTCCAGGAGGTATGTACAGACAACTTGTAAATATTTTAACTAGCATCAAAGAAAAATCTATGCTACTCTGTTAGGTCTAGGGAATGGAGAGAGAGACAGCTGCTGTTAGGCTCTTTGAATAACAGTCAACTATCTAAACACATCGTTAATTTTATGTTTTTTATTATTTGAATTCTCTAACGTTGCTCAACTGATATATGCAGTTTGAGTTGTTTCTTATTTTTAATGGTTTCTTGTAATTTTAAGATTTGGTGTTTTGACGTGCTGGAGCTTAAATACTACTGATTACTTTTCTTGTATCTTTTGTTTACTTAAAACTGAGTTTATGACTAACTTGGTTGAAACTACTTTCCCGAATTGCTTACTTCATGGAACTTGCTACCCCACATTCTGAAGAAGTTATAACTTTGTTGATAAAGTTGAGGCTTTGAGTGGTTATTAAAAATATGAGATGGATGGAGCTACTGCATTGAGCTGGACCTCTCGCTTGACACTCCTATAATTATTGTTCCTAGATTCATTGGCAAAGAGTTAGTGCATTTGCCCTCTGATTCTTATATATGATGCATTCATTTTTTTTTTTAAACAAAAACTGAAAATTATAGATGATACCTATTTGATTGTCTTAGAATTTCACAGTTTCACTTCTTAGCAATAACTCTTCCTACAGATCTTGCAGATAAAGACATTTTTACGTCTTGAAAACTTGAAACTTCCAAAGAAGCTTTACTTGATTTTATTAACTTGAAGCTAATTTCTTCTTGTTTACTGTATAATAACCTCTTCTATCTTGTATCAAGTAAATTATGAAACAAGTAATAATTAGAATTTGCAGCACCTTTAATGGATGTGTATATCTGATATGGATATAAATAATTTGCATGTTTTTTTACATCTGCTTTTACTTCTTGCACTTATTGTAGAAAACCTTCTTATCTAATATCCAGTTTCCTCCATTGATTGGTGTTCATTATTTTCCCCTGGTCAAGTAACAATCCCCCCTCTAATTCAATGTAATGATTGGTCTTCCTTTCTTCAAAACATGGTTCATTTATTTGACGTCAGTGGTAGGCTTCATTTGTTATATATATGAGTCAACTAAGGTGTTCCCATCTTTTTGAAAACAGAGAAGGTTTCTTTTTCTTAGTGTTTTTCAGACAGGCTTTTATTTAACTGCTTGAAGGCTGTTAAATCCTTGCATCTTTCTGTTCGTTTTTCTACCCTTAAAAAGTTGTTAGATTTGTTGTTTCCTTAACTGGAATTAATTTGTGCTCTGATTTAAACTTGAAAAATTGTAATTGCCTTTTTTATGCTTTGTTTTTTCATGCAGTTTCATTCAACTTGATTGGGCCACCTAAGGTGACAAATGAAATAAATTGGCATGGAAGCTCAGAGAAGGATCCTTCAGCTGTCCATATTGATGTTCTTCATGCTGAGGTAGATCTTTCCAGCCTTTTTTTGGAATTTCATTATTCTAATTAAGAATTTAGTTGACTTCAGGTTATATTTGCAGATTATGGGGATCAACATGTCTGTAGAATCATGGTTCTGTAGGTAAACCGATGATACAGGATGGCAAGGACTGATATTTTTGTTCGTCGGAGTTTGAGGGATGTTTTCAGGAAAGTTCCAACATTTTCTCTCGAAGTTAAGGTATTTATTGTGCTTGAAAATTTTTGCAATCTGTAATTATATACTTCTGAATTTCAAATTGAGGAATTTAATTGCCCCTTTGGTGGGTTGCTGATGTTTGTGATGGTTGTGCTTGAAAATTAGGAGCTGCATAATGGTCTTATTATATATGAATGAACTTTATTGTTCCTTCCTTTGTCCGTAGTAATTTTAATTTTTTTTGGACTAGAGCCGACAGTTTTCCTTTCTAATTAGAATGGTTAGAAAGATTTAGTTCGCTAATTGTTTTGGGCTTTCTTTTGAGCAGTGGGGTTATTGCATGGTGTGATGTCTGACAAAGAATATGATGTTATTTTAAATTGTACATTTAGGAATTTAAATGAAGCGCCCAATCTTCCTCCGTTTTCGTGGCAGCAAATCTGATTCCATGACACATGCGCTTGTTGGTCGATAAGTCATTTGAATAGTCAGATGCTACTGTCCCATAGTGTTACCATAATAGCAGTTAAGTTGACTATGCCCTCTTGGACTGTGCACTGGCATTATTGAGGAGTCACCTTTAGCTCATGTTGCTGTGAGTATCTTGTTTGTTCTAGCTCAGTTGTTTTGCTTTTGGTCAATGTTACGATTTAAATCACAACTACCTAGCTTATTTTGGTCAATATTACATATTTAAATTAAAAGTAACTAGCTTTTTTAATTTGCTTTTTATTTCAAATAATTTTTTTCTCTTAAATGAGAATGACACTTTATTTAAAGTATTCTGTGGGTTTACTTATATTTTTCTATTAACTCTTTCAGCTGGAAGGACTTTGGGTCTATCGGATGACTTCATCATCTGAAATAGATCCTATGTTACATTCCTAAGTTTTCATCATGGACATTCGCCTAGTACAAAACCTGAAATGCGTCTGATGCTTGGATCATCCACTGATGCTTCCAAGCCACCTTCTAGCGAAAATCACCCTTTTTTCTTAAATGAGAAGTTTTAAGAGACCAATTCTGAAGTTGGCCTGGACATAGATGTACCGGTTTCGACAATGTTCTGATGGACTACAGATGGCGAGCGTCTCTCGTCATATGTGGTTCGGGTTCAGCACCTCGTGTCCTGGTTGTTCCAGATTTCTACGCCTGTTGGTGAGTTTTTTGTCCAGCTTTGGGAGCAATACTGGAAGAGTGAAACAATGGATCCTAAGATGACCCTAAAGTAGAAACAATAGCATAGTACTCTCTGGACCTGTTTACACGCAGAGTGAAGATGTGGTGCATTTGTCTCCTGGTAGACAGTTAATCGCTGATGCTGTTGTGTGGATGAATATACATATGATGGTTGTGGAAAGATTATCTGTTTAAGTGAGAAGAAACATATGAAGGATTTCCAGTTAGCAAATATCGACCAATTATAATCATTGGACGTGGCAAGAGATTGCGGTTTAAATGTCAAAATTGAGGCACGCATTTGTTCTCCTTCTGAGTTTGTTTATATTGTTTCTTGCTGTTGGCTTATACTTATAATTGTTTGGACAATATCTTCGTCTGCTCTTATTTTCACCCATATATTCTAGAATTTTTTTTTTTTTTTTTTCCCAAACAAGATCACCTATTTTGATCCATACTTAAACTGGCATTAGCACATTTCCTTAGTACTAGTTGTATTTTCTGGCTATCTAACTGTTTGTATTTTTATTTTTGATATTTTTCTGTCAGAATGGTTACCTTTTGAGAAGTATGCATACTTGAGTAATGATAGCAGCTACTCGGTTCAGTAGAGATGGTGTTGACATTTTGGTTCTGGATAATTTGTCATCTGATGATGACAGAGATCTGGATCACGTGTATGAATTTTCTGATACCTCTAATGTGTCTTCACATTCCCAAAGTGATTCAGATGTGATCCAAAGTTTGACTTTTGAAGCTCAGGTGGTTAACTCTCATGGACGAATATTATTTGTTGCTAACTTATATTTTTCAGTAAAATCTTGAGCCCTGGGTTTCTTAAACCTTTCTTCAATTCTCAAAAAAATGGAAGAAATTATACTTTTGGGCTTTCGTTTTTTGTAATTTTCTGGTCTTCACTATTCAAGTTTGATTTTGATAGTTGTCCTTAGCCAAGTATACTGAGAGTTTTTGTGATTCTCGGTTTTAATAATTGGATGATGATTCTCAGTTTTATTATTTGGATGATTATATGTTTTATATTAATATTTTTTCCCTTTAGGTGGTTTCTCCGGAGTTAATTTTCTATGATGGTACAAAGTCTTATCTGGATGATTCCTCGTACTGTGAAAAGCTTCTACGTGCTAAAATGGATGTGAGCTTCATGTAAGACTGGCCACATTATCTTGCTGCATTCTTTGTTAACTTCCTCTAGATTCTTTCTTCTTGTTCTCCTTTCTGAATTTGGTGCACTTACAATGTAATGTAATTTCTTTACAAAGTTAATTTATCATCTATTACTAGTTCTTTTTGTTTTTGGGTACTTCTATTCGTACTTTTGTTTTGCATGTACCATCATATAAAGTTATAGTTGTGACAGGATCTTTTTGATGATAACTAGAAAGTTATTCATGGAAACTGGTTCTTATGATCAGTTCTCGGCTTTTTCAGTTTACAGTTCCACCTAGAATTGGAAAACATAAGACTATATTACTAAGAAACCTGAAATTGGGCATTATCGATTTTATGGTTTAAATTTCTCTTGTTGAATTATAATTTGCTTGTCATAGGTTGGTTACATTTTGATTCTTGCTTCCTATCTTATTCTTAGGATGGTTAAGTGGCATAGGTTAGTTTTGAGATGCTTATTTGAAGAAATATATAGTTTCTAAAGATCTCTTTTTCAATGTTACTGGGGGGCTTGATTTTGGTGTTGTATGTGTACATCCTGTTCTTTCTCCCATTCTGCCTAGTGATGATTATGTTTTTTCCCCCCTCTTTTTTAGATAAATTTCAACTTTTCTTGGGTAAATGTTATGTCTACATGCCTTCATTGTGATGATATGTAAGACTTTAAGATTTTAAGTTGATAGCCTTTTTTTTCTTTTTTTTTTCCCCCCTTGGAGCAGGTTTGCATCAAAAGAAAATGATACTTGGATTCGTGCCCTTGTGAAGGATTTGACTGTTGAGGCTGGTTCTGGTCTGATCATTCTCGAGCCGGTGGATATTTCTTGTGGATACACTTCTGTTAAAAAGAAAACGAATATGTCTCTGATATCAACTGATGTATGTATCCATCTTTCTTTGAGTGCCCTTTCTCTTCTACTTAATCTGCATAGTCAGGCGGCCACAGCTTTACAATTTGGAAATGCGGTTCCCCTGGCTTCATGTACCAACTTCGACCAGATCTGGATGTCTCAGAAAGGTCATTTTTCCCCGCAACTTTATTGTAATAATTTGATGATTAATTTACTGCTAACAATGCTACATTCTTGGAGTCATTAAACTTTCATTTAGCCATGTTTGCTGCATACCCTGAGGAAATTGTCTGACTGAATCTCAACTAAAATCTTTTGTGTTGACTTACCTAAGTTTTGCTGTGTATTTATGTAGAAAATGGGTCGATTAACAACCTTACTGTATGGAGGCCTGAAGCTCCATCAAATTATGTTATACTGGGAGATTGTGTGACGTCAAGGTGAGATGAAGATACATTTATGTTCTTCCAACTGTGCTAACAGTTCCCTACAGAAATTCTGTCCTTTTGTAGGAAATTGGTTCATTTCCTTCTGGTGTTTTACATTCACATAATTCTCTTTAGTTTGAGCTGATAGGATGACATGTAATCTTATTGGGATGTTATTGTTAAAACCACACCATAGTTATTGTCATGGATGTGTGTTTGCAATTTTGTTTCCTTTAACATTTTAAGTGAAGTGTTGTGTTTCTCTGCAGTACACCCCCTTGTTATTGTTATTTATTTATTTATTTTGGGATGCTTACAATGTATTTCTTGTATAAGTTAGAGACTTACTATGTATTCTCTTTATTAATTTTTTGAGTTGCTATATTTATTTGGATACTTGTAATATGTCTTCAGGTCTATTCCTCCTTCACATGCAGTAATGGCGGTCAGTAATACATATGGACGTGTGCGTAAACCAATTGGTTTTAATTTCATTGGCTTGCTCTCTGGTGTTCNCCCCTTGGAGCAGGTTTGCATCAAAAGAAAATGATACTTGGATTCGTGCCCTTGTGAAGGATTTGACTGTTGAGGCTGGTTCTGGTCTGATCATTCTCGAGCCGGTGGATATTTCTTGTGGATACACTTCTGTTAAAAAGAAAACGAATATGTCTCTGATATCAACTGATGTATGTATCCATCTTTCTTTGAGTGCCCTTTCTCTTCTACTTAATCTGCATAGTCAGGCGGCCACAGCTTTACAATTTGGAAATGCGGTTCCCCTGGCTTCATGTACCAACTTCGACCAGATCTGGATGTCTCAGAAAGGTCATTTTTCCCCGCAACTTTATTGGAATAATTTGATGATTAATTTACTGCTAACAATGCTACATTCTTGGAGTCATTAAACTTTCATTTAGCCATGTTTGCTGCATACCCTGAGGAAATTGTCTGACTGAATCTCAACTAAAATCTTTTGTGTTGACTTACCTAAGTTTTGCTGTGTATTTATGTAGAAAATGGGTCGATTAACAACCTTACTGTATGGAGGCCTGAAGCTCCATCAAATTATGTTATACTGGGAGATTGTGTGACGTCAAGGTGAGATGAAGATACGTTTATGTTCTTCCGACTTTGCTAACAGTTCCCTACAGAAATTCTGTCCTTTTGTAGGAAATTGGTTCATTTCCTTCTGGTGTTTTACATTCACATAATTCTCTTTAGTTTTAGCTGACAGGATGACATGTAATCTTATTGGGATGTTATTGTTAAAACCACACCATAGTTATTGTCATGGATGTGTTTGCAATTTTATTTCCTTTTAACATTTTAAGTGAAGTGCTGTGTTTCTCTGCAGTACACCCCCTTGTTATTGTTATTTATTTATTTATTTTGGGATACTTACAATGTATTTCTGGTATAAGTTAGAGACTTACTATGTATTCTCTTTATTTATTTTTTGAGTTGCTATATTTATTTGGATACTTGTAATATGTCTTCAGGTCTATTCCTCCTTCACATGCAGTAATGGCGGTCAGTAATACATATGGACGTGTGCGTAAACCAATTGGTTTTAATTTCATTGGCTTGCTCTCTGGTGTTCGAGGAATAGAAGGTCATTCTGATGCTAATTATGACTGTTCACTTTGGATGCCTGTTGCACCACCTGGATACACTGCAATGGGCTGTGTGGCAAATATTGGAGACCACCCACCCTTGAATCACATTGTGTATTGTCTACGTTCTGACCTTGTCACATCCACAACATTTTCAGAATGCATATTTAGTGCCCCATCAAATCCTAGATTCACATCTGGATTTAGCATCTGGCGCATGGACAATGTTCTTGGATCATTTTATGCACATTCTTCAACTGAATGCCCTTCCAAAGGCATTAGCTGTGACCTGAATCATCTTCTTCTTTGGAATTCAATTCAATCGCATTTGCCTACTGAAGCATCTGCATCAGGTGATTCAGGTCTACCTGATGATCAGGAACATGGGCGTCAGCAAACGAGTACTGATGGTGCAAATTCATCTGGTTGGGATGTCGTTAGGTCAATTTCGAAAGCAACTAGTTGTTACATGTCAACCCCTCATTTTGAAAGAATCTGGTGGGACAAAGGTAGTGAGATACGCAGGCCAATCTCAATTTGGCGACCTATAACACGCACTGGCTATGCTATACTGGGGGATTGCGTAACTGAAGGGTCAGACCTTTTGTCTTATAATGCTTTCACAATTTCTTATTAGTTGTTAGAAGGGATCTTTTTATCATTATCTTCAGAATTATGTATTGATAACATATGGTATTGTCTTTTTGCATTTTCAGCTTAGAACCACCTAATCTGGGGATAATTTTTAAGTCTGGCAATCCTGAAATCTCTGCAAAGCCTGTGCAGTTTACTAAAGTTGCCCATATTGTTGGGAGAGGCTTTGATGATGCTTTTTTCTGGTACCCAATTGCCCCTCCTGGTTATGCTTCTCTAGGATGTGTAGTCTCCAGAACAGATAAGGCACCAAGCATTGATTTAGTTTGCTGCCCAAGGATGGATATTGTTAACCAAGCTAATATACTTGAGGTGCCCATTTCAAGATCTTCAAGCTCTAAGGCATCTCAGTGTTGGAGCATTTGGAAAGTTGAAAATCAGGTTATGCTGAATATTTACAGGATTCATAGTCTAAATTCACCAATTTGAGTTTGAGCTTTTATATTGTTTTATATGGTGTAAAGTTGTCAATGTTTTGAATGTTCACTTGATTGGACAAATGATTATTATCTTAATTTGGCCCTTTATGTTATAGGCCTGTACTTTTCTTGCACGTTCGGATCTGAAAAAACCATCAAGCCGGCTGGCTTACACTATTTGTGATTCTGTGAAGCCAAAAACACGAGAAAACGTAACTGCTGAGGTGAAGCTGAGACGCTTCTCTCTAACTGTTCTGGATAGCTTGTGTGGAATGGTACAAATTTTGAATGAAGTTACTGCACTATATAACTTAATGTCCACACAGCCAATTTTCTTATGATGGTTTTTGGACCCTTTCAGATGACACCTCTGTTTGACACAACAATCACCAATATAAGGCTTGCAACGCATGGTCGGGCGGAGGCAATGAATGCTGCATTGATTTGTTCAATTGCTGCTTCAACCTTCAACACACAGTTGGAAGCATGGGAGCCATTGGTGGAGTCATTTGATGGAATATTCAAGTAAAATATTATATGTTTTATATATTTTATAATTTGCTTTTATAGGAAAAATGAAAAAAAACAAAGATAGAGCTGTTTTAACATATTTAATGTGCTTTTTTTTTTTTTTTTTTTTCGCTTTACAAGGTTTGAAACATATGACACCAGTGTACATCCACCTTCTAGTCTAGGGAAGAGAGTGCGTGTTGCTGCAACCAATATTCTTAATATAAATGTCAGTGCTGCAAATGTTGAAACTTTTGTGGAGACCATTCTTTCATGGAGAAGACAGCTAGAATTTGAACAGAAAACCATCAAATTACATGAGGTCAAATAGGCTCTTTTACTTGTCTGTATTATGAGAAGTTCATTAGTTGATTTTCCATTCCTAATGCTTTATTAGCTTACTGCTGTAGCAGGAGACTGGTAGTCATTTTAGATGTGGAGAGGACACTACCGTCTCAGCACTTGATGTCGATGATTTCAAGACTGTAATAGTAGAAAATAAACTTGGGTGTGATATTTATCTGAAAAAGGTTGAAGAAGATCCAGACACAGTTGCCCAACTACATCATGGTGATTGTGCATCTGTCTGTATTCCACCTCCAAGGTTTTCAGACAGGTTAAATGTTGTGGATGAATCGAGGGAAGCACGCTATTACATTGTTCTACAGATTATTGAGGCCAAGGTTGTACGATGGTCAAAAACCATTTGCTACAATTAGACTCACTAGTATTATATTACGGCCTTATAACTGGAAGCTAACTTGCTTTTCTTTTGCAGGGTTTACCCATAAATGATGATGGTAACAGTCATCACTTCTTCTGTGCTTTGCGCTTGGTTGTTGATAGCCAGGTGTCAGATCAGCAAAAGCTTTTCCCTCAGAGTGCAAGGACAAAATGTGTGAAGCCTATAGTTTCAGAATTCAATGGTCTAGTTGAAGGCACAGCCAAGTGGAATGAGCTTTTCATATTTGAAGTTCCTCGGAAGGTGTGCTTTTTTATTTGTTTCTCGTATTTCCTTAATATACTTGAAAAAGGCAGTATGTGTAGGAGTATCGGTTCAGTTATCTGAAGGGACATAGTTTGGAAGACGGAGAAGTTATATTTATTAACTTCTCTGTTTTTGTGTTCCTTAACTGCCTTGTTACTCATTTCTTTAATATGGTATCAGAATATGGCAGTGCACTGCCATCAATATTAATATTGCTAAATAACAAATAACGTGAATAAAAAATCATGATTCATTGGAGGAGTCTGAATATACTACTATACAAATTTAGCCAGTTGAGCTTATATTTCTATTTCTTGGTCTTACCTTTGAAGCTTATATGTATAAGTTCTAAGTGGTAATCGTCTTCGCCTATTCTTTTGTTTGCATGTCTAGATTTGTGCCTCTCTATTATCATCATGAATTTTTGGAGTTCTAAACAATTCTGGGATATTTGAATGTTGGCTGTTGTAGGGGCTGGCTAAGTTAGAAGTGGAGGTGACAAACCTTGCAGCAAAAGCTGGGAAAGGTATTAGTTAGCGGCATGCTCCATGCTGGAGCTTGTTTGTTTGGTTTTTTTTTTTTTTTTTGCTATTATAATTTTGACTATTCTTCTCTCTTAAATTGCTGATTTATGTTTTTTTGCAAAGAGCTATTAATTTGATGAAGATTTATTTTAATATTCTTTTTATGGTTATTGTCAAACACAATTTCAAGGTTGAATTTGTGTGCTTTTACCTTTTTAATTTTGATTTAATGTAATGACGTGATAAGGTTTTGATCCATGTGGAAGGATTGAATAGAGAAAAATAGGCCAAGATTATGCGTGGATTTTTTCCTAAGCTGCATTTAGAGAATATGGCNTTTTGACTATTCTTCTCTCTTAAATTGCTGATTTATGTTTTTTTGCAAAGAGCTATTAATTTGATGAAGATTTATTTTTATATTCTTTTTGTGCTTATTGTCAAACACAATTTCAAGGTTGAATTTGTGTGGTTTTACCTTTTTAATTTTAATTTAATGTAATGATGTGATAAGGTTTTGATCCATGTGGAAGGATTGAATAGAGAAAAATAGGCCAAGATTATGGGTGGATTTTTTCCTAAGCCGCATTTAGAGAATATGGCAATAGAGAGGAGCAACAGAGAAGATCAGCTGGTGTCAGATAACTGTAACTTGGATTATTTGACTTGTATTGGATGATGTTGAGTGGTACTTACTGGTGGTTATGTATTCTTCTAGTATTTTTTCATCTCTGGCTGCCAAACATAAAACAGCACTGATTTTCAATAGGGTTCCTAATTTTTTTTTTTGGCTATTTCCTTCTGAAATTATGATTCTCGACTTGAAGATCTTGTTGAGGTAAATTTTATTCTTGGAATTGGTTTCATGGTATAGGTGAAGTTGTTGGTGCTCTCTCCTTTCCTGTTGGGCATGGTGCTAATACGTTAAAGAAGGTAGGGTCTGTGAGGATGCTGAATCAAGCATATGATGTTCAGGATATTGTATCTTATTCACTGAGGAGAAAGGTGAGCTCTTTAAATTCATGTCAACTACGGATGTTAATTGTAATCAAGCATGCAATTTTTCTTCTTTTTTTTGACTCTATTGTAATATATATATTTTTTTTCAATATTGTTCTTTTTCACAGGCTCAGCCCAATAATGATGAAGACATCCAGGACTATGGACACTTGTTTGTTTCCAATTCTTATTTCGAGAGGAATACAATAGCAAGCTTGCAAAGGGATGTTGGTAGTGAGAGTCATACAGATAGAGAAGTAGGCTTTTGGGTTGGTCTCCGCCCTGATGCTGCTATGAAGAGCATTAGGTCATTGCTTCCATTATCTGTAGTTCCTAAATCATTTGATAATGAGTTTATTGCTATGGAAGTTACAATGAAGAATGGAAAGAAACATGCAATTTTCAGGGGACTTGTCACTGTTGCAAATGATTCAAATGTCAAATTGGGGATATCTGTATGTCATATTTCTTTTGTTAACGATAAGAATAAATCTTTGGGAACAAGCAGTGGTAATGTAAGTGTGGAAGAGATCTTTGAAAATCAATATTATCAACCAAATTCTGGCTGGGGTGACAAGAGGTCTGGCTCTCATAATAATGGTCCAGGGCGTTGGAGCACCAACTTCTCATATTCATCAAATGTGAGTCTATTTATGAAATGATGCTTTCTTTTCTTGTCGGAAGTTTTCACTGCTTTCTTAATTTTCAATATTTGCATCTGCTTACGTAGTCTTGCTTTCTTTTGAAGGAATTTTTCGAACCTCCCCTTCCCCCTGGATGGCGGTGGACATCAGCATGGACTGTTGCTAAATCCCAGTTTGTTGATGATGATGGCTGGGCATATGGTCCTGACTATCAAAGTCTGAAATGGCCTCCAACCTCTGCCAAGTCACATATGAAATCAGCTTATGATGTTATGCGGCGAAGGCGTTGGATCCGTACCAGACAAGTAGTCACTGATCGAGGTGGAAGTAACACGGAGGGTGATTTTATTATCTTAACTCCTGGATCTTCTGCTGTTTTACCGTGGAGATTTACATTTAAGGATTCGGATCAGTGTTTACAAATTCTTCCTGTTGTTGATAATGAGTCCTCATATACATGGGGTCGTGCTGTTGCTATTGGTTCCAACTTTGCTTTTGGAAAGGACCAGGCTTTAGTGGATCAAGTTTCACTCTACAGACAAAGTACATTGAAACAAGGAAACAAATTGTCTAATCTCACTTTCAAGTTGAACCAACTCGAGAAGAAGGATTTACTTTTTTGCTGTTCACCTACTACTGGAAATAAACAAATTTGGCTAAGTGTGGGTGCAGATGCCTCTGTTCTTCACACTGAACTGAATACTCCAGTATATGACTGGAGAATATCTATGAACTCTCCTTTGAAGCTGGAAAACCGGCTTCCTTGTCCAGCTGAATTTACAGTCTGGGAAAAAACAAAAGAAGGGCATTACATTGAAAGACAGCAGGGCATAATCTCTTCACGCAGGAGTGCACATATATATTCAGCAGATGTCCAGAGACCTCTATATCTTACATTGTTTGTTCAGGGTGGTTGGGTCCTCGAAAAGGTGATAATCCATTTCAAAATTGTATGTACTCATACGTTGAAGTATGTTGAATCTTATATTTATTAAGCTTTTCTTACTGCAGGACCCTGTTCTTGTTTTGGATCTTTCTTCAAATGTGAACACATCATCATTCTGGATGTTCCACCAGCAAAGTAAAAGGTGAGATCGAAAGCATTTTTCCTTTTCTTTTTCCTTTTTTCAAGTAATGGAGAACTCTATTGAGTTACTTAGAGGTTTGGTTTAAGGCGAAGGCAGATCCACTAGTTTTGAAATTCATTAAAAACCTTTTAATAGATGGATTAGTGTCATAAATGCTTTGAAGTCTTAGGAAGTTTATCAGAAACCTCTGTCCAGGGGAGATCTTTGTTAATTTTCCAAATCACATTGGTCCTCCTAATAATCTGAAAAAACCTCAGAGGAGGTAAATGGAATTTAGTGTATGATATTAGAGTTCTTTTGCGTGTGTTGTAGATAATCATGCAAAATCTTACAGATATTGCATGATTAAGTGTATAAATCTATAATAGGATATTAGGATTGTAATCAATACGTAATAGGAACAAATCTGTAAAATAGGAGTGTATAAATCTATAATAGGATATTAGGATTGTAATCAATACATAATAGGAACAAATCTGTAAAATAGGAAGTCAGATTTTTTTATTTCCTAGATTAGATTATTTATTTCCTAGATTAGTTCTTTATTTTCCTATATATTGATGTATAATTTGTCAATACAATATGAGAAAATTACAATCAGTTCTCTGTTTGTAACAGCGTGTAAAGGTGTTTCTTCGCTTTACTTTAGAGTTGCTCAATTTCTCAAAAATTACACAGCTCCAAAGTTAGGAAATGGTTCAGAATCTAGCTAAATGCTTAAAACTTATCATAAAAACTGTAGTAATACCACGCTTTCTGTTACTTATAAACAAATAGTTGTAGAGATTTTGTTTTGTTGCATATATGTAATTTCAAGTTACTTTTTAAGTGCTAATTAAAATTTTATTTGTAAATGTGAACAAATAAAATTGGATTTGAACTCCTTAAATTGCTTTTACTCTCTTTTTTCATTTTTCTTTTCGGCATATATATATATATTTCAATCAAGGAAAACTCCTCCAAGTTTGATGGTATACAAAATTCAAATAAATTGAAATGTTGTAAAGAAACACTCTTGATGGTCATCTAGAGGATCGTATGATGTTCTAATTTTCATATATATGCAATCATAATTAATTTTGTTCTTAAAGAAAAACATATGGAGAAGGAAAAATCACAAATGATGTCTCTTTTTGTTTGTTTTTCACATGATGTTTTCTTTTTTGTGTTATTATTTGTTAACCAAAATTTTGTTTGTGTTAGCCCTTAAATATTAGCTTAAACTTTTGGTAAAGTGGTTAATTAATATGGTATGAAAGCCAAATTGACCTAGTGGTCTTGTGTTTAAATGCTTCCATTGCATTAATTAATTATAATAATTTGTGTTTTTATTTGTAACTCTTGTTCTGTGTGGGCCTGTGGTTGTATTAGATCTGTGTACTCTGCATGTGAGGATAAGTTTAAAGAATTTTCTCTTAAATATCGGTGTAAACTTTTAGGTTAAGTGATTGCTTAATACTTGTAATTTTTTTCATGAATATAATTTCGTTGTCAGTTATATGATCCTCTTGATGAATCTGTTATGCAGGAGATTGCGTGTGAATATTGAAAGTGACATGGGGGGATCCACTGTTGCACCCAAAACCATAAAGTTCTTTGTTCCATATTGGATTATTAATGATTCATCTCTGCCTTTGGCATACCGAGTTGTGGAAATTGAATCTTCTGACAATGCAGAGATGGATTCTAATTCACTCTCTAGAGCTGTTAAGTCAGCAAGAACAGCTTTGAAAAATCCTACATACTCAATGGATAGGAGACAGTCTGGCTCTAGAAGAAACATTCAAGTAGTTGAAGTTATTGAGGACACTAGTCCAGTACCTAGCATGCTTTCTCCACAAGACTCTGCAGGTCGCAGTGGTGTTATGCTTTTTTCATCTCAGAAAGATGCATATGTATCCCCGAGGGTGGGCATTGCTGTTGCTATTCGCAGCTCTGAAATTTACAGTCCTGGGATTTCTCTTCTTGAGCTGGAAAAGAAGGTGATTACCGGTTTATTTTCTCTCTTTTTTTCAGTTTTTTCCTTCCACTTCCTCTCTCTCTCTCTCTCTCCCTCCCTCCCTCTCTGACTCTGAGCTTTGTGTGGGGCTAGAGAGGAAGGAAATTGATGCTGTTGATTCTCTACTTGAAATTTGTTTCTTTTTTATTTATTTATTTTTTTTGTGCTGCTTTAACTTTATCTTCAGGAACGAGTTGATGTCACGGCATGCAGTTCAGATGGATCTTATTACAAACTTTCAGCTACATTGAACATGACCTCAGATAGAACTAAGGTTGAGTATCTCATTATGTTTCCGAATTCATAATAGATATATATCTTGATTCCATTTTCACATAAGAGTATTATGACTCCATCCTTCATCAACTATCAACATTCTCTGTCTCTGCTTTACTCATCAGAAGAGAGAGTCATAATTTCAGTTATTTTTCTGTTTCCAGTCTCAGATATAAGCCCAGTTTATACATCACCCTAGCAATCTGATAGGATTGGAAAGTTTGTTTACTGATTGTCCCTGCCAGCCTTCAGTACTAGGTCATATGTGGAGAATAATGAAATGATTCTTCAATATAATTTTTTGACGACTCCAAAGAAATGAAAAGTTAATGTTGGCTGTAGAAAGTCTGCATTGTGTAATGCATGTGATCCTCATTTGCATTAAGGAATGACATAATTATATGTTATTAGAAGCAAAAATAATTTGTCAATATTTATGGGTTGCATTAAGGAATGACATATAATTATGTGTTATTAGAAGCAATAATAATTTGTTAATATTTATGGGTAGGTCATTTGATCACTAATTAACAACTATCCACTGGTTGGTGTTCAGGTTGTTCATTTTCAGCCACAGACCTTATTTATTAACAGGGTTGGTCTTAGTCTCTGCCTGCAACAGTGTGATTCTCAGTTTGTGGAATGGATTCATCCTACCGATCCTCCAAAGCCCTTTAGATGGCATTTTTCTGCCAAAGTTGAGTTGTTGAAGGTCTGTGCAAAAATCATAGTGTTGCTGACTTGATTTGTCTTCCTTAAAATATGATAATTATGTCAGCTTGATGTAATATATGTTAAATTTCAGTTGCGTGTGGGTGGATATAAATGGAGCACACCTTTTAGTGTAAGTAATGAAGGTGCTATGCGCATTTCTTTAAAATCAGATACTGGAAGTGATCAATTGCAGCTTAGGGTTGCGGTTAGAGGTGGAACAAAGAGCTCACGCTATGAAGTTATTTTTCGTTTGAATTCCTTTTCAAGCCCTTACAGGTTATATTGTAAAGCCATATACATACAAGTTTTCATGTCTCTTCCTCTTCTGTGTGGAACTTTGAATACTGTTACTTTTTTTTTTTTTTTGGTTGCTCGCATATGCATATACTTATTGATTATTATTATTAATGTTGTATCCAAGCATTTAAATCCTTGCTTGAAGTAAAATTGTAGTGTTTCATTTGTTATTTGTGCTTTAGATTTTCAAGAAACATTTATTTCTATTGTGCAGTAGTTAGCTCTCTTTCCTTTTGTTTTATGTAATATTTAGTTCTCTTTCTTTTTTGTTTCGAATATGATATGTTTCTTTTCTTTTTCTCCCTTTTTGTTGATATTAATGGTAACATTTGACAAACAGGATTGAAAATTGTTCCATGTTTCTACCTATTCGTTTTCGGCAAGTTGATGGTACCAGTGATTCATGGCAGTTTCTTCTTCCTAATGCTGCTGCTTCTTTTCTATGGGAAGACCTTGGTAGACGACATTTGCTGGAACTTCTGGTTGATGGAGCTGACCCATCAAAGTCAGATAAGTATGACATTGATGAGATTTTTGATCACCAGCCCATTATGGGGGCTGGTGGCCCTGCTACAGCTCTACGTGTTACCATTCTGAAAGAAGAGAGGACAAATGTTGTTAAGATCACTGATTGGATGCCAGAAAATGAACCAGCAGCAATCATGAGTAGAAGAATCCAATCACCACTGCCTAAAGTATCTGGAAATGACTCTCAAAATCAAGAGTCACTGTCCTCCTCAGATTGTGAATTTCATGTCGTTGTTGAGCTGGCTGAGCTTGGAATATCCATTGTGGACCATACACCTGAAGAGATATTATACCTGTCAGTACAGAATGTCCTTCTAGCTTATTCAACTGGCTTGGGGTCTGGATTTAGTAGGTAGGATTTGCTTCCAATTAATTCTTCAGTACTCCTATTTGTAGGACTATTAGTCTGACATTACAAGCATATTCAGTGCCTTCTTCTTAGCCAGAGCACTGAGTGCAAGAGTGAGCTAAAGAGAAGTGTTGGTTATAAATGTGTCCTAAGATATGTTTGGTTGTCCCATCTGATTGTATTGCTCCAATTTTGCATACTGGATTTAGAGTTAATTCATCTGAATGGATCCATTTCTGAAGCACTGGCTGTTAAGATGCCAAATGATTAAAAGTTGAACTTATGGTATTTCATCAATTCTGGGAACTGTCAGATTCCCTTAATTTTGGAGGCATCACCAATTTTGTTCAGTGGTCCCATTCAACTTTGAATGCAGTCTCTGTGTAGCTCTAGAATGCATGGGGAAATATGCCGCTTTTTCCATGCATGTGTATTTTGTGTATGCTCATAATCTTTTATGTTGGTAAGTTATCAATAGCAATAGAAGTGTGTTTCTTATTAAGAAGAAACAGCAATAGAAATATGTTGGTGCTGTTACTGGTTATGAGCTGTTGTCCTTTAAGTCACGTTAGTTTTTTGTTTTGCTTGATAATTTTTTATTTAAAGAATAATGGTTTCTGAGTGGAGAAGCTGTGATGTGGTATTAACCACTGCACTGCAACTAATCAGCAGGTTATCCATGAATTGTTCCTTAATTGGATTAGTACCTAGCTTCTATATACTAGAGCATTTTGTAATTTTTATCTGCTTTTGTGGAGGATCTGCAAATTGAATAGAGCAATTTCCATATTGTTTTATGTAACAGGTTCAAATTGAGAATGCACGGAATACAAGTGGATAACCAGTTACCGTTGACTCTGATGCCAGTTCTTTTCCGGCCGCAAAGAGCTGTGGATGAGACTGATAATATATTGAAATTTTCGTTCAGTCAGCAGACAAATGGATCTTTAGATTTATGTGTCTATCCATATATTGGTTTTTATGTGAGCTTCTTTAATCTCATAATTGATTAGCATAATGGTTATGATTTATTTCCTTTATACAATTTTGATTATGTTTGTACTAAATGCTTTTGATCAGGGACCTGAAAATTGTGCCTTTCTGGTAAACATTCACGAACCTGTTATTTGGCGTCTTCATGAGATGATCCAGCAGGTGAATATTCATAGGTTATATGATACTGGAAGAACTGCAGTTTCAGTTGATCCATTCATTCAAATCGGGTATGGATTTTTTCAAATTTGTCATCTAATCCCTGCATTTGATTAGCTCATAAGTTATTAAAGCTTATTAATTGTAATTACAGTGTGCTTAATATCTCTGAAATTCGATTCAAAGTGTCAATGACAATGTCACCTACTCAACGACCAAGAGGAGTACTTGGGTTTTGGTCATCCCTAATGACTGCATTGGGTAACACTGAAAATATGCCTGTAAGTGTTAATAATTCATATATATTTGTTTTTAAGTTTATAATGGGGCGGGAAAATTTAATGGTCATTCTCCTTGCATCATGTCAGATATTGTGCACTATTTCTGCCCATTTTTAATACAGATTGGTTTTTTTAGCCAGTGTACAAATACTGTTTCTACTGTAAACTTTTAGTTTTTATGGGGCTATTACTGGAAGTTACAATGTGTCAAAATAAAAAGAGAGTTACTGATTTGAGCTTGCCAAAGCTTCTTTATATTATATTCTTGAACGAGGAGGCTGAGCATATGTATTGACAGACTATTTTGAGTATTGTATTTTCTGGTTAAATCTTATTTTAGGTTTATGGCAGGGCGCATTGTTAATTTTGGACAGCTTGTTCACTTTTATGTCGTTACTTTTATTCTGCCTTGTTTACTAAACATACTACTTGAGGCTTTTAAATACTTTAGACATGCATAATTGTCTATTCGTTAGTTCTCATTGTGACTCACTAGGGACTCCCAATATGCATGATTTAATCTTTAAGTTTCTTGGTATAGCTCTCATGCATTTTAGAGAATGTAATAGGAATTTTGAATATGAATTGTCTTTCTATATGTTAATCAGGTCAGGATAAATCAAAGATTTCATGAGAATGTGTGCATGAGGCAGAGTACTATGACTAGTAATGCAATAGCAAATATTAGAAAGGATCTTCTTGGCCAACCTCTGCAAATTCTCTCAGGCCTTGATATATTGGGAAATGCAAGCAGTGCACTTGGACATATGAGTAAAGGTGTGGCTGCCCTATCAATGGACAAGAAGTTCATCCAGAACAGACAGAGACAGGTTTGCTATGAGCTTGAAATTTTTATTTGTCATGTTGAGCTAGGACCATATACTGTATGGCATGTTACAAGGCTGGAAACCTGAACTTCGATAAGGGAATTATAAATAAAGAATGGCTCTTTACCAACTAAATTCTTTACCCTTTGTTTATGTCATAATAATGCGTATATGTAAAATTTACCTAAAGAAATTCTAAAAATAGACCCAAATTGTTAATCAGACTTTTAATGTAGTATAGTCAAAAGTAAAACTTGAATAGAAATTCCATAAATACCATAAAAAAAAAACTTGGGACACCTTGCACTTATCTTTTCTCTTTTTGGCATTTAGAAATCCCTGCTCTTCGGGCTAATACGCTGATCAATATAATGCTAACTGTGTTGCTTAAGGACACTGCAGCCAAGGCAGTTCAGAAAATCCAAGTTGTGGTGTCCAATGAGACTAATAAGAGAAAATGTCATTGGTTTTGGAATTGCCTCTTACACAAGTGAGGATGAGGTATTTCTGGGTACCAAAAAAAGATAAAGTGGTGAATTTCTCCTGAACAGTGGATACAGAGTGTTTTATTTTATTTTTTTCTTGGATAGGAAACAATAAGTATATTCAAATTGAGCGTTAAAGTTTACAACGGTAGACCTAGTGTAGTGCTAGATCTTTACAAAAAAAAAAAATTCAAAAGCCTTGTGTAAACTGTGCAGTATGAGCACCAAAAAGAAGGGAAAGATTAATGCAGCCCACAAGTCCACAAAAAAGTAGAACACATCAACTCAAAGTTGACCATTGTTTATAGCCTAATTTACTTTATGATATTTCTTGATCTTTTGAAGCAAATAATATAATATTGTTAGTTATCGCCTATTAATGTGTTTCTTTTTGTTTGTCTCTTTGAAGAAGACTATGCTTTGTGCTTTAGATTATCCTTAGATGCTATTTGCCTAATTCTCAATATTTACTGATTTAAAGGCGCTGATAAATCGCAGTTAGTATCTTTTTCTGTGTGCTAGAGCATTCATTTTTTTCTTTGTAATCTGTATTATCTTGCAGGAGAGCAAAGGTGTAGAGGACTTTGGTGATGTTATCAGAGAGGGAGGTGGTGCCTTAGCAAAGGGCCTATTCAGAGGTGTTACTGGCATATTAACAAAGCCTCTTGAAGGGGCAAAATCTTCTGGTGTTGAGGGTTTTGTTCAGGGTGTTGGTAAAGGAATAATAGGTGCAGCTGCCCAACCAGTTAGTGGGGTGCTTGATCTTCTGTCAAAAACTACTGAAGGTGCAAATGCTATGAGAATGAAGATATCATCTGCTATAGCTTCAGATGAACAACTTCTACGCAGGAGACTGCCACGTGTAATTGGTGGTGATAATTTGCTTCGTCCATATGATGAGTACAAAGCACAAGGGCAGGTACATGTTTCCTCTTTTTGAGGAGAAAAAAATTACCTAGGTGATGGTACTAGCTGTTTAAGTTGCCATAACTCATCTGTATTAAAAGAGTGTGATTTGGACCTACTAGAATTTGTAGAGTTGTTCAATAGTAGGGGATTTTGAAGATATTGAGTTCTGTTGAATTCAGATCTTAGTTGATATCGAGTTAAGTTAAATTCAGATCTTAGTTGATGAAATTACTTGAGAGAGACAGGACATGTAAACCATGTAGGAGATAATTAACTAAAATTCTTGAAGGAAAAGTGTAAGAATCTCATTCATTCTCCTTCATGTTGTTCCTAGATTTTGAGATCAACTAGTTCACATTCTTATAGATTACTTGCCCAGTTCAACATGAATTATTGTTATTTAACTAATGCGATGGGTAATTTGAACAGAACCAGTTCATCAAGTTGGCCCAAAAAAATAATTTAAGTTCTCATAATATTTTATTTATTGATGTCCCATATCTTCTGTATGTCAAATTAGCACATGCAGTATCTGCCTTTGTTTTATTGGCATTGACTCTTGACATCGTATGTACTTCATCTTGAAGGTTATACTGCAATTGGCTGAATCAGGTTCATTTTTTGGGCAAGTTGATCTTTTTAAAGTACGTGGAAAGTTTGCCTTATCAGATGCTTATGAAGATCACTTTATACTGCCCAAAGGAAAGATCCTTATGATCACACATCGCAGAGTTATACTGTTGCAGGTAAGTTCAACTTACTCAAGATAATTTATGGCTTTACACTCCTACATCAAGGGGACACAAATGAAAAACGTAACTGTACTTTTATATGTTACAGCAACCCGCCAACATCATTGCTCAAAGAAAGTTTAGCCCTGCAAGGGATCCATGTTCTATTTTGTGGGATGTACTGTGGGATGACCTCGTAACAATGGAATTGACTCATGGAAAAAATGAAAATCCAAAAGCTTTGCCTTCTAGGGTTGCACTTTATCTACACATCAAGTCAACAGAAGCAAAGGAACAAGTTCGTGTTATAAAATGCAGCAGTGAGACCCATCAGGCACTGGAAGTTTACTCTTCAATTGAGCGAGCGAGGGACACCTATGGGAATAATCTTTCTAAGGTTAGATTTTTAACATGCTTTCTTCCTTTCATGTTAAATCTTGATCATAGCAGCTAAGGCTCGATACCTTTGCAACAATATGGGGTTCCCCGCCTTTGCTTCCAACTATTTAGTAAGGTGACGAGAGCCTTTTTTCTATGGATGTCAAACAAAGATAGAAATCTTTCAGGACTATTCATCACAATTGTTGAAAAGTACATGTCTTCAAGTGTCAAATAGTTTTTTTATTTTTTTATTTTTTAAATCTGATCTAGCCTGTACCTTTTTTAGTACTTGTGGTGCAGTTAGCCTGTCCACAAGCTTGGTCTAGCAGCATCTGACACGAAGGTGGACCAAGTAATCTTGTATCAAATCTCTTTTGTTAATCACTTTTTTTGTGTGTGTGTGTGTGTGCGTGTGTGATTGTGTTTAATTCACATAACTTGCATGTGAGAGGGGGTGTTAAAATTTAAATATGATGGTTATATTCTTATCTATCAGCTTAAACTATGATAGAAAAAATAATTGAGATAGTGTAATGCGAACTGTTCCCAATGCCATTCAGGAGATGCTGAAAAAGAAAGTGATGAAACCATATGCACCACTTGGCAGTGGCAACAGTGCGGAAGTAAATCCAAAAGAAGGGGTTTCCATTTGGTCTCCTCAACAGGTGCCTGCATCAGTTCCTTTCAGTTCGTCTTTTGGCAGCAGCAGTGGTTGATTTGGATAACTCATTGCCCATGGAGAAATATGGTTCATGGCTTTCTGCTACCTTCAGGTCATACATACCATTTTGCTGGGAAGTGAAAAATCTTTGCTCCTCATGCCCCCCTGCAATTTGAAAGGTATGACTTCGATGTCTGTTTTCATACCACTGTGCAAATGGTCTTCTCTCCTTGGTATTTTTGTTTTCCTTGGTGAGAAACTTAATATATAATAACTTCATCGCAATTCTGCCTTATATTTCTTCTGCCATATCTAAGAGTTTCTGTCACATTATCAGAAATAATTTGCAGGTGAAAACAAGAGTTTCCCTCATAAGATTGCTCATCGCCTGCTAACTTTGAATATAAATAGAATGAAACTCATAAAATCAGTTACCGGTATTGGCACAGACTGTACAGCTTGTTAATATTTTTGTACATGTCTATAGTAAACATATATAGATTTCGAAATACGTTGACAAGTCGTGGGCTTGATACGGGTTAGTTAATTTACCATATGATATGATGTATTTTTTTTCTTGGTTAGTAGAAATAAAATATATAAAAATTTTGCAAATTTGATTATGACTGTATTATGACTCCGAAATAGCTTCATGACTTGGTGGTAACTATAAGGAGGATTAGTTACATATGCAAACTGATTGGCATACTATTGAGCCATTTTTATCTGAGTATTTATTAAAGATAAACTACGAAAATTAATTTTATGCCATGTTTGAGCAGTGAGAACTGAGAAGAAGAAAGCTTCTATAAGTTGAGTGGTAGTGGTGTATGAAATTTATTTGTATACAAACTGCGCCTTTTTTTTGTTAGTAAACTTCATGGAATACACAAAATCACCATGGATATAATGTAATTTTTCCAAGATAGTATTAAAGATCTCATCGAAAACAACAAAGACTTCAAGAGAAAAAAGAAAAGAGGTATCACTGGCATAACATCTACAATTGGATTCAAAAAAAGTGTAGGCCTCGGGCAATTTGGTGAATAAAAAGCTACTGGAATAAAGGGTAGAATTAAAACAAATATAAATCAAACTAAAGATATTAAGTATAACGAGCACTTTTTTCTTGGAGATAGTTGTATTTTGATTGTGTTATTAATATGTTATTGATAGAAGGTAAAAATGAAAGAAAAGAAAGTTATAAAGACGACCCTAATAAAAGAATTTAATGCTGCACGTACGAAGAAAATAACACCAAATATTATTTTCAGGCCTCAAGAAAACTGCCATAAAACTGGAACCATCAAGAAACTGTCAAAGACTAAAAACAAGTCTAACATTGGTTCATGAGCTGCCATACAGCCATAGTCGAGTTATCCCGGCGTCAATATTCAGACTTCAGTCACTAAGATCATTGACTTCTTCCACAGTTGAGCTCAATCTTTTCTTGTCTGATAGACCTAAGCAAAGGTCGAACACGAATCTTGTTCTCCTCAAATGTTGGCTAATGGTTCCTTATACTGGCTGAGGTATATGTACCATATAGACGAGTAGTTCTCCCAATATCACCCCAAGCGCATCCTCTCTGGTGATAACTCTAGCGTGCAGATTCTCAACCGTGTTTCTTATGCGCCATCGTCTGCCATTTCCAATCCGCTCCAATCTTCGAGTAGCCACATAGGTTTCCATGGGGTCTATGTTTTCAAGAATGGTTCTGGCTCGAGCCCGTAGAGTTGATCAATCCTTTATTGTTTTGGTCTACAACATTAGGAATTTGTTGAATCTTTATTTCCAAAATCGTCGTCCAACTTGAGTACTTGACTACAATAATGGGTTAAGGGAGTACAAGATTACGAAACATTTAACTTTGATCTCACAAGTTATGTTCGTTACGACAATTTTTTTCTTCATTACGATGAACTAAAACTATGGGTGTTCAAAAAAATGTAAAAACGAAACCAGATTTTCGGTTCAGTTACTGATTCGGGAAAAATTTAAAAAGGGTTAATCGAAACCGGTTTAAAAAATAATAAAAAAAATAAAAATATATATTATATATTAAATAAAAAAATTAATTTTATTTAATATATAATATATATTTTTATTTTGGATTTTTATTTGTATCAATTTTTAATGTATTGTTAGTAGTGATCAATAGATATGTACGAATGTTTAATTTTTATTTAGATATGTATTGTTTATATTTATAATTTAATTTAGGAAAAAATTAAAAAAAAAAGTTTTATAAAAAAAAAGGGAAAACCGGTTAACCGAAAAACCGATTTTCCCTTCAAACTGGTTTGATTTCGGTTTGAAAATTTTCCCGAACCAAAAAATCAGTTCGGTTCAAAAGAGCAATTAACTGGTTTGGTTAACCGCTTTTGAACACCTCTAACTAAAACTCTACGAGCTTCAAGATACCTCACTGAAAAAATAAAAATAAAATTCTTTCAAACTTCTCTCTTTAGACATTATAAATGGAGTTCATGTGTGGGAAAAATATTACACTATCTTTAAGGATTCCACATTAGACCTTTAATTATTATTAAATTTTTAATAATAATTTTATCCACTAATAGTTATACATATCTGAAAATTTTGATTTCCTCATACAATCATAAACCTTAATTCAATAAACCCTAATTTTATTTTCAAACAATAAAGACGGAATTTATGAAATTAAAAAGTTTAATCAAGATCATGTAAGAAGTCACTAAGAACGATAAAAATGAAATTTATGGCTTGTATTTGTAGGTTATTTTGTTTTTTCTTCACTTTCTTCTTCTTATGCACTCCTCCAAAATTTATAAATTAGTTTGATGCATTCAAATTTCTTTACCATTTTAGAAGTAAAAACACATGAATTGATTTCATTTCTGAACATTATATTTAAAACAAGAAGCATAAAAAATATTGAAAATATAAATAAAAAGGGTATTTTTGATGGTTGGAGGGGTTAAATTTGCATATGTTTAAATATTTTAATGGGTAAACTTAGAATTAAAGTCTTGAAAGATAAAATATGGGACGCCAATAGCATCACTCTTATGATAATTTTTGTATATTTTATCAATTGGTCTCTCAAAATTTAAAAGTTATCATTTTACCTAACTATATTAGATTAATATTTGAATTATAAGTAATACTAGACACACAAAAAAATCTTATGGGCGTGTTTGTTTTATTATTTTGAGTAGTATTTTTGAAAAAGTTGAGTTAGATTATTATTATGAGGATATGATTTGAATTTGAAAATGTGTTTGGTAAAATTATTTTTTAATCCCCTATATTTTTTAATTTAGTTAAACACCTCTTACAATAAAAGTTTTAAAATTAACAAAAACATCTCCACCCACCCATTAAATGCCGGCTGCTGGGAATATGTGAGTGAGTGAATGTGTTTTTGTTAATTTATAAACTTTTATTGTTGGGGTTGTTTAGTTAAATTAACAAACCCAAGGGTTTAAAAATTTTAAATATTTTGAATTAAATAAAATAAGATTGGATTTTGAGAATAGTAAAATAAACATATATTTTGAATATGACAGGAATAATAAAACAAACACACTTATATTTTTACAATAATGCTACGGACACCGGGACTCTACACCGAATTACGTGTCCCGTGACTCACACCAACCACATTTTACGTTCACGAATATTTTGCTAGTAAACGGCCGTTCATCAACTATGGACGGTCGTTCACTTACGATGGAATCATGTCCATATTATATGGACGGGAGTCTATTTACTATGGACGAGAGTCCACATTTAAAAGACACCCGTTTATCAGTAAATGGAAAAAACAATATAAACAAAAATAATGGATGGCTGTTCATAGGTTATGGACGGTCGTCCCTAAATAAATGACGGGCGTCCACATATAATTGATACCTGTCCAATCTTTAAATAATAAAATTTTTATAAACAAAAATAATGGACGGGCGTTCATATGTTAATGGACGCCCGTCCATTATTAATGGTCTTAAAAAATTAAAAAAAAAAAATATTAGGGACACCCGTTCATCATTTATGGACAGTCGTCCCTGAATTTTGGACGGGCGTCCGCAAATAAGGGACACCCATCCATAATGTAAATTAAAAAAATAAAACAAAACAAAATTTTGGACGGGCTTCCCTAACTTGTAGACGGGCATCCCTAACGTGTGGATGTCCGTCCATAACCTATGAATGACCGTCCTTTATTTTTGAACGGGTGTCCGTACTGTAAATTAAAAGAAAAATTAAAAAAATTAAGGTTAAAACACAATTTTGGGGGAAGTTTTTAAAATTAAAACACATCCCCTTCTTCTTCGTCTTCATTCCCCATCTCCGCTCTTCTTCTTCGTCTTCATTCCTCATCTGCACTCTTCTTCTTCTTCGAAGTTCTCNTATTTTCAAACAATAAAGACGGAATTTATGAAATTAAAAAGTTTAATCAAGATCATGTAAGAAGTCACTAAGAACGATAAAAATGAAATTTATGGCTTGTATTTGTAGGTTATTTTGTTTTTTCTTCAATTTCTTCTTCTTATGCACTTCTCCAAAATTTATAAATTAGTTTGATGCATTCAAATTTCTTTACCATTTTAGAAGTAAAAACACATGAATTGATTTCATTTCTGAACATTATATTTAAAACAAGAAGCATAAAAAATATTGAAAATATAAATAAAAAGGGTATTTTTGATGGTGGGAGGGGTTACATTTGCATATGTTTAAATATTTTAATGGGTAAACTTAGAATTAAAGTCCTGAAAGATAAAATATGGGACGCCAATAGCATCACTCTCATGATAATTTTTGCATATTTTATCAATTGGTCACTCAAAATTTAAAAGTTATCATTTTACCTAACTATATTAGAGTAATATTTGAATTAAAAGTAATACTAGACACACAAAGAAATCTTATGGGTGTGTTTGTTTTATTATTTTGAGTAGCATTTTTGAAAAAGTTGAGTTAGATTATTATTATGAGGATATGATTTGAATTTAAAAATGTGTTTGGTAAAATTATTTTTTAATCCCCTATATTTTTTAATTTAGTTAAACACCTTCTACAATAAAAATTTTTAAATTAACAAAAACATCTCCACCCACCTATTAAATGCCGGTTGCTGGGAATATGTGAGTGAGTGAAGGTGTTTTTATTAATTTATAAAATATTATTGTTGGGGTTGTTTAGTTAAATTAACAAACCCAAGGGTTTAAAAAATTTAAATATTTTGAATTAAATAAAATAAGATTGGATTTTGAGAATAGTAAAATAAACCTGTATTTTGAATATGACAGGAATAATAAAACAAACACACCTATATTTTTACAATAATGCTACGGACACCGGGACTCTATACCGAATTACGTGTCCCGTGACTCACACTAGCCACATTTCACGTTCACGAATATTTTGCTAGTGAACGGCCGTTCATCAACTATGGACGGTTGTTCACTTACGATGGAATCCTGTCCATATTATATGGACAGGATTCCATTTACTATGGACGAGAATCCACATTTAAAGGACACCCGTTCATTAGTAAATGGAAAAAACAATATAAACAAAAATAATGGACGGCTGTTCATAGGTTATGGACGATCGTCCCTAAATAAAGGACGGGCGTCCACATATAATGGACGCCCGTCCAATCTTTAAATAATAAAATTTTTATAAACAAAAGTAATGGACGGGCGTTCATATGTTAATGGACGCCCGTCCATTATTAATGGTCTTAAAAAATTAAAAAAAAAAAATTAGGGACGCCCGTTCATCATTTATGGA